GCTGTGCTGACGTTAGCGGACACCGCCTGCCACGGTGTGGACCCTTTTTGTGGAAGGAACTGAACACGGGTCTCACAATTGCACAAGGAAAAACCTAGTTTTGCGACGCGAATCAATAATGCCCTGGCTGTACTGGATGAGAAACGTGAATACGAAAAATGTCGATCGTCGACCGTGGTTCAATCCACTGCTGGATGAAGGCCACCAAAGCCGCTGAATGACGTTCAGAATTTGCTCCATAATGTTTTTATCTTCTTCGAAAGTGTGACAACCTCAACATTGCGTGAACTGTTCTGATAGTCCCTTTTGAAAAGTAATCCATATTGTTACCGATTTGCAAGTTTGCGAGTTGCGGATTACTTTCGTGACCCGCGTTCTTCTTACACGAGCACATTCGGCGTGACTCTTTGATTGAATCTCAGATGGATCAGCGCCCGCACCACGAACGTCGTCACTCGCAGGACGAGCACGCACCATTCTCCCCGTTCAATCTTATATATTTTTTAAAAATGTTTGATAGAGTTTCTTAATGCAATCAAAGCAATCCCCGTTCAATTTTTTTTCTTTTTTTGTAATAGTTTTTTATATGCAATAAAAGAAATCGCGAGCAGTAACAAGTACACTCTAACTCACGGTAATCCGATTACAAGCAGAAGATGGAGGATTACTTGGTAATTGTTTTTCGTTCGTTTTTCGTTCGTTTTCGTTCGTTTCTTAATCCGCTTGTCCCGGTCAGGGTCGCGGCGGGAGCGTTTTGAGCAGTGGCGGTCCAAACCTAACTTTCCCTGACGACAGACTCCAGCCCTGCTACACTATACACTACTATACACACTACCACACAATATTATACAAGACTATACTACACTATACACTACTATACACTACACTATACACTACTGTACACTACACTATACACTACTATACACACTGCCACACAATATTATACAATACTATACTACACTATACACTACTATACACTACACTACTATATACTACACTATACACTACTACAATATACACAGCTATAAACTACTATACACTACTATACATTACACCACTATGCACTATTATACACTACTAAACTATACACTACTACACTATACACTACTACACTATACACTACTATACACTATACAATACACTATACACTACTATACACTACACTGTACACTACTATACACTACTACACTATATACTACTACACTATACACTACTACACTACACTATACACTACTATACACTACACTACTACACTATACACTACACTATACACTACACTATACACAGACTCAAGCTCTTCCTGGGGAATTCCCAGGCGTTCCCAGGCCAGCCGAGCGACATTCCCGCCAGCAGCAGCGAGGTCCTGGGCGGGCCCCGGGGTTTTTTCGCCTTTTTCAATCCAATTGAATATTTATTTTTCTCACTCGCATCCCGTTACTAAGCAGCTCAGCCTTAATGATCACCGTCCGAGTGTCTGAGGAACGCGAGCTCTGGGTGATACTTGCAGTGACCTCTTTCCTAGCGTGGCACGTGCACTCACCACCACCTGTTGTTCATCAATCCCGACAATAATCCTTTCGGGTTTCTCAGGGCTCACTGTTGATGCCTGCAGGGCTCAGAGACATTAGTTGCAGGTTACCAACTGGCCACCTGACTTTCATTTTGCAAGGCGCAATCCGCCGCTTGATGAGGACCTCCCCATGGTGTGTGGGTCACGGGGCCTACTCGACCATACTTCACCGTACTGCATCATGAGGCCTCCTTTGCCAGTAGCAAAATATAAGAATAGGTCTTTCCCCTTTTTTCTGGTAACAAAGCTGTAACCTTTTTACAAGGAATCATGTTTACATTAACCAAAATACTTGCGGTCAGAATGCAAACAAAAAAACACGCTGATAATATATGCATTAAATTTCGATTTAAAGCTTTCGTGACTGCAATGATTCATCTTCTTTGGTTCTTTCGGTAAAGTCACGTAGAATGAGAATAAAATATAAAATTGATAAAATAAAATAACACAATAATATTATTGTGTTATTTTATTATATCAATTTAATATTTTTTATTAATAACACAATAATGTTATTGTGTTATTTTATTTTATCAATTTAATATTTTATTCTCATTCTACGTGACTTTACCGAAAGAACCAAAGAAAATATATGCATTGTCCTTGAAACTGATTGGTCCACACCAGAGATAGCTTTCTTTTGAGCCTCGTCTCAAACGGTGTCCGACCAGAGGACGCCAAAAGGCGCGCAGCTCAAAGACAATGCACTATCATAGTAATGATGGCTCGGGGTGAGCATCTTCACCGTACTGGTCAGTGCGGGTTGGTGATGACAGGGAGCATGGCGAAGTACAATGGATTTTGCTGCGCTTACAATGTAGCTCCGACGCATCTTACTGGACATCTGTGAAAAAGAGCTTTATAGCTCATCGGACTCTTCCAGTATAAATCCATGTTCTGATTTATGATCTCCACAGACGCCTGCTTTTGTGCATGGTGGACACCCATCTAGATGTTACCCAGAATCAAGCCTGATCACTTCCGAGATCTAACGAGATCGGCCACACACTGGGTGATTTGGTCATAGGCCCATTTTTTTGTTACCATGTTATACATTTTTAAAATGAACAAGATATACAATTAAAGAGATAAGAGAGCCTCTGACCCATGCCTATTCATGGGTTGCCTTATTCAACATGGATTTTGATTTATTCAGCATAAATTGCGACGACATTAGCATTTCCCATTATTTCAGCACATTTCCTTTAATGTTTCATATTTTTGGGGTGCAGAGGTTCATCCACTCCAATATTAACGGTGGCTGGGAATCAAACTTAGGTGACCATGTTGATGGTGCAGGGTGCTAACCACTGGGCCACGACTCCCAATCTTCAGGTTTATCCATAATTATGATATTGTCATCTCATTTCACATTCCCACTTATTTCCCCTTCATCTTCGTGTGGAACATCACGACCGAATCAAAATCCGTCACCATCATCACCAACATCAGTCACGACCGAGCCCCGGACCAACACCTACTGCATCGGCAAGTGGAAAGCAAAAAACAAAATACATTTTGGTATTTGGGCAAGGAAACGTGCGCGTGGTTTGTTGCAAGTGGAGCAGCTGCTCCCTCGGTGAATGAGCAACCACCCCCAGGGCAGTCACTCACCGGCGTCTCCATGGATCCCACATCCGTGGACCCGTGAGCGCGTGCGTCACTCACTCGCTAACGCCGGCAGGGCTGCGCTGATATAATCTCTGACGATAACGATTACGGTCGATGACGATTGCGATATTGCATCGCGACAAATCCCCCGCTTAGTCTATTACGCGCCAGTACACCAGCGCGCACACAAAAGTTGAAAAGGATAAATATAGGACTCTGGCATTAATGCCCCAGGATAGAACTGGAGTGCAGATGAAGTCGGGTGGATGTGAGTCACCGCCATCGTCATTGTCAGCCATTGTCAATCATCTGCTGGATAACGGCAATAATCACAATCCCTCAAGGTCTTGCGATGCAACATTCCATGCAGCATCTGCACATCAGCTGATGTCAATCTCCCTCTCTGCAGTGGGTGGACTACAGCCAGTATCCCTTCTCGTGACGTGTCTTGTCTCAGCTCACTTTTATTGTTAGTCAAGATGAGGATGATACTTTTCATGATTCTGTCCAGTTTTCAAAAAAGTAACCAAACTTACTCTCATCGACCTGGTTATTTCATGATTTTTAAGTCCGGTAGTCTTTATTTGCCTGCCCTAGGTATACATATTCCGAGGTGTGTTTATATTGTCCAACGTGCATCTTCAATTCTCTAGCAAACTCTGTACAAGACTTTTGTTTTTGCTCATATTTATCTTCAACGCCAATTGGCAGGCTTAAAAAAAAATCTCTGATGCCCTGTAGTTCATTTCCATTAGCTGTTATAACGACCACATGATCGGTAAAATCTGAGATAATTAATATTTTATCCTTTTATATTCATGCCTATTTTATCCAATCCAACTGTCAGTACACATCTTCTAACGCCGACGCTGTTAATAACTTCGATGAAAGCGCGTCTCCTCGTTCGACTCCTCTTCGAATATTGTATCTCATGAGCAATCACAAAAATACAGAGTAAGCGAGAAGTTTAGATTGAGTTTGAAAATGAAAAGGGGCTTTAATATGCAAGGGTCGATGACGTTTGCGAGGGGGGAGGGTGCAGTTTGGTTTTTCAGAGCTGGTGCTGCTGGGGGGTGTGCGGATAAGGGGGGCCGCGATTATACTGTAGATGTCAGAGATAAGCTGTACAAACATCAACAGCCCTGCTGCCTAGGCGTTCAGAGTGTTTTTAAAGTTGGCCACCAGGTTTAAGCTTCGAGAGGTATGCCTCAAAAGGTATTTGCCAGGGTGACCCTCATAAAAAATAAAAGTGGCGCGGTAAAGTCATTCGCCGCTGGTGGATAAGTTTGCTACAATCTGGCTGGTGCCTTTCATTTATTGTCTTTGGCAATTAGCCCTTTTGGCCTATAAGGCTGAACTACTTCAAAGTCACGCGGGTTCACTTAGCGGGCCATGACGCGCAGCATCAGTGGCACGTGGTAGCAACTGCCACTTGTCCCGAGCCTTCCCGTCGGGGTGCTGATTTGATTTTGGCATTGATAATAAAGTACCACGTTGCTGTGCAGTTGTGAATGATGCACGCCTAGGCGCCCTTTAAACACTGCCAGTTAAACTTCTTTCGCACCATACGTAGCCGACCGATAGGGCTGTGATTTCGGTTTCGCATCCTGTTCTGAGTGCAAGGTTTAAGATTTGCAGTCCGGGGGGGGGGGGGGGGGCGGGTGGTGAGGAGGGGGGGGGTGAGGAGTCGGGCGGAAGAGGGCGGGATGATCACAGCTGGGTATAGCTCTGGTCACAATTGGCACTCGCAAACTAGACGCACACTTGTGCCGATCATCCAAGAGGCTTAATTGTCTTTGGTTTTCCTCCCCGCTCGCAGACATCCTGAACGACGCGATCTTCAATGAGGACCACGACGAGATGGTGATCGTCAAGGACATTGACATGTTCTCCATGTGTGAGCATCATATGGTGCCCTTTGTTGGCAAGGTATGCTCTGCGCTGCTTGGCACTGGCTCGGTTTTACGCATTCACCACTTTCCAACCTCTTCGGGATTTTATTTTATATGGAAATGCAGGCGTTCGAAATTATCGACTCACAAAGCTTAGGTCAGATCCCATTTACGGAATGACTTGGCGCATCGTGTCTTCGGGGGTCGATAAAATATGTATCACTTTGTAGAACGTTCAGCATAATTTCCCTCTCAAGAGCCTGCTTGCTGACATAGAAATACGGAGTTTGTACTTTTAATTCAAGGCTGCCAAGAGAGATGAATGCTCATTTGAGTTGATGTATACTTTGATATAATACAGAGGGTTTTATTTTGGGTTAGATCGGATAAATATAAACGTGTCGTTAAACCTGCCACCACCCGAGATAGCCAATTAGTAAGGTTTATCACCTAAATAAAACATGCCAATTCGTTGCTCTTTCAGCACACCAGTGTGTTGGAGAGCCAATATCGTGGGTATGTTTTGTTTAAGTGACAAACCTTACTAATTGACTGTGTCGGGTGGTGGTGGGTTTAATGGCACGTTTATATTTACGCGATCTAACCCAAAAAAACTCCGTTATGCATATTGGTCGAGAAAGACTACTTGTTTAACTATACTTTGACCTTTTACCCCTATTATTGGTCGTCTAACTGTACTTGTTTAGTGCCTTCCAGTAACATGTGTGGGTGCTAATGTGCAACACCAGTGATGACTACCTGAACCCGTGCTGGGTCTCCCCTATGTCGACCCAGCCTCAAATGGGTACCTGGTGCGGTGTGCAGCAAACATCAGCACTGGGGAGACAAAGGCGGCCGGGCGTGGTGCTGACCAACCACCGCCTCGCGCTCCGTGCCGGCCTTCATAGGTGCTCGCCAACAGCACTCGCCCCAACAGTCTGTTGACGCGATGAATGGGAATCTTTGTCTTGGGCGTGTACAGGTGCACATTGGATACCTGCCCAACAAAAAGGTGGTGGGACTTAGCAAGCTGGCCAGGTGAGCAGTGGTGGAAACTGCGGGTCACTGTGATCTGCTAGTGCACACACAAGCTAAAAGCACACCTCGTTGCTGGTAAAGAACAACAAAACGGACAGTCCTTTTGTTTGCAAAAAAAAGCACGACCACGGCTTAGGTTACATTAGGGTGACTGGGTATTTATAAGCTCGTCTATTTTTTTTTTCAGGATCGTTGAAATGTTCAGCAGGAGGCTCCAAGGTAAGAACTAAACAACGCGGCAGATTGCACAACTCAGCGTATCCATCATCACGATCGTTGTTAATATTGAGAAGAAAATAAGCTGTCATATTAACAATTCATCATAACCAGTAACGACTAGCTAGACAAACTGAAAACTAGTAATGAAAGAACAGCCAATGGGAGTGGAATGATGAAATCGGAACACGCACGATAAATCTATGAGTTTCAGCTGCATGAGACCACAGGCATCGATCGACATTGAGCTGTCTTCATCCAGCAGCTGATAGAGAATAGAATTGTAAATAATAAATTACACACATGTATATATATATACACATGCATTGTATATAATATCAGAACCCAAATTGCGCTGACCAGCATGGTGAAGTGTGGTCTTCATCCATCAGCGGATTGACAAAGGGTTATACACCATACTAATTGTATATACAACTGATAAATGGGCACTCTATGGCATGAGTACACAAACACAGCTGGGAGCCATTCGGGGCCATCAAATAGAGGAGGTCGGTTTTGAGTGGCGGTGTCTACCGCTATGTTCCCGACTCCCTCTCCACGTGGTCCATCACAAATGGTGACCCCCCACCCCCCCCCCCCCCCTCTCCAAGACCTGCGTGGTTTTCTGACTTCTCTTCTTTGCCACCGCCACCAGTACAAGAGCGGCTGACCAAGCAAATTGCTGTGGCCGTGACGGAGGCACTGCAGCCTGCAGGTGTCGGTGTGGTCATCGAAGCCACGTGAGTTGCACGACAAACGGTGTTCGTGGCATACAATGGTCACTCAAGACCGGCTAAAGCTACCCAATTACTGGGAGGCTCAAAGCGGGACACATGATCAGCCGGCAGCCCTGCCCTCCCATTGAGGCCTGCCTACTTTCACGTAGCCACACGGACATTAAAGCGCAACCTCCGCATTCGCGTGTTTGGCATTGTCCCCGTCAGCTGCTCATGGGCCCCACCTACATCCTCTCCACTACTCGAGTAGCTCTGCCGGACCTTTGCCCAAGCACGAGGCCGGGATTTTTGTTCAGTTTGCACATAACTCTCTTGCACAATTGATGCGTTCTGAATTTTTTTAGAAAAGAGGTTTAGGGGCTTTTTTTTTGTGAGAAAGCAGGCAATCGGTGACCCGTAAACAGCATGGTTTACCGTAATGGGAAGTCTTGTCTGTCTGTATCAAGTTATTTTATTTAAAAAGTTGAAGTTCGATCAGATTCGCACGAGATGACTCATGGTCTTTACGTTACATTTAAGAGCAGTGCGTCATCACTCTCCCAGTTCTTGTATCTTTGTTGCGTTTCTGGCACAAAAAAGCAAACTAGTGGTTTCTATCTATGGGACCTTTTTTGCCAGTATCCAAAATGATGAAAATTAAGGATAGGTTTTACCCTTTCTGGCAATAAAACGGGTGTTAAGATTTTTTTTTTCTACCTACGTGACTTTACCGAAAGAACCAAAGAGTATGGATCCCTGCAGTCACTAGATTCAAATCTAGATTTGGTGTTAAGATATTCAAAAGCAAAATATAGATGCCATTTTCAAGGAATCAAGTCTGCATTAACCACACGTGTACGTGTGGCGAAACATGCAAACTAAACGTGCTCTACCAAATTGTTAATTGCACACTAAAACTCAATTGTGTCGTCGAAGTAAAAAAGACAAAAACAATTAACCTCGTCTCCCTCTTGGTTAGGGGCTGTACCTATCTGTGTTGTCATCTCTAAGCCAGTGGCAAGATATTCCACAATTCGTGATTAGGACTGTAAATACATAAAAAAAATTTTTTGAAATGCAGCAGGTCAGAGTGTCGACTAACCCCCTCCCTCTCCCTCTCTCTCTCCCGCTCTGGGTCCTGCTGCTTGCCTACGAGCAGCCACATGTGCATGCTGATGCGTGGCGTGCAGAAGATGAACAGCAAAACGCTGACGAGCACCATGTTGGGTGTCTTCCGGGAGGATCCCAAGACCCGAGAAGAGTTCCTGTCGCTCATCCGACACTGAGTGAGCAAAGCGAGTTCGCGGGCATGCCGCTGGCCTGCGGACCGCAACATTGCGGAGCACGTGACCACCGGTGATAACAACAACAGCAACAACAACGCTTCCTTCCCAGACCCCCTTGAGAGCCTTCAACATTCAACCCCGTCCTGACTAGCCGCTGCCACTGCACAAGCTTGTGCCGTTACATATACACCTGTAAGGTTGTCGTGTGGTGATAGAATGTAGCATGCTTGGTTGAGGACTGAGGACAAAGTTGTAATTTATGGAAACAAAATCTGAAATTCTTGTAGGTTGCTAGAACAAGAGGGATGGGTGGGGGGGGGGGTGTGGTGAGTTGTTTTTACCAACCCATGAATCAAGCCTCTGGAGATTCACAAAGGTAGCTATAAGGGGCCGTCCATAAATGACGTCACACACCTGGGGGGTGGGGGGGTCAGACATTTGTGACGATGTGTGACGAGGGGGTTTGAGAAATGTAACATCACGTTCTACTTAATTAAATACACTTTTAAAGAAATGTTTCTCCTACAACATCAGAGTGCAGCGCCACATTAAATACGCACTACAATGACAATAGTTTAAAGCGATTTGAAGCATGTTTTATTTTTATTTGGGGGGGGGGGGGGCAGAGCTTTGTGACGTCATATTTGAGGGGGGGTCTGACTTTTTGTGACGCCGTGTGACGAAGGGGGGGGGTCAAACATCGTCCAAAATCGCGTGACGTCATTTATGGACGGCCCCGAATTGGAAATGGAATAAATAAATATAAATGAGCAGAGCCTCAGCCATATTTGCAATGTAGTCAAATGTCAGTCAAATGGGTTGTAATGTTGTGATAATATCCGAGACAAGAAAACTCAGGTGGAGAGAATGTGATCCCACAAGCATTTAAATCCAAAATGTACAGATATCCACTAAAACACATTTAATATGTTCTGGACGCTTACTTTACTCCAAATACAATTGAATCATATCCTGAGATTAAGTGCATTTGGAACAAAAAGAAAACTTATAAAAAATATATATTCATACATCATTTAATGTGTATGGTCTAAACTGTATTTTTAAACAAAGCTAACATTTGTTTGGTGCTCAGAGCTTAATGCATCTTTGATCACTCACTGGTTTGTCGCTAAGAAATAACGTTACTGGAAGCCATTTTCTTCCCATGAATTCAAACCAAAGGTTTGACAACACGCGTTAAGTAACGTACGTGGCGACACAATGAGTGGATGGCAACAGAGTCCAAATATAAATTGTGTCATGAACACAGACAGTGGGGCAGCGTTTATCCATTCCTCCTTGCCTTGCTGCATTGGCTACAAAATTATTCGCAACCAGAAACACTAGCTGCTGCTGCTGCCGCCCAGAATTCATACCCATTTTTATGATCGCTTTTGTGCATTTAATTGTGAAAACCTTTTTAGGTCAATACTCGCCACTGGTTTATAAATGGGTGGAGTAGATGGGTGGTGTTTGGCAAGTTCTTTCTTATCCAAGCGCGACCTTTTATTATACTTTTATTATAAAACCCAGCCAGTCATCAATGGAGCTATCGGCGTTCTTCACTGCGGGTTAATGCTGACATGTTGGGAATAAATCCCAAGTCTTATTATGAAAGCTCAAGAGTGTCAGTGACCAAAGTTGACGCAGTTTATAAGATATTGTACGATGTACATGCTGCTGAACTTAACGGCTGTTTTAATATCAGGGTTATACTTACGGTACGTAAAATGAAAATACACAAAAGTCCTCTGTGATTGTATGGAGGACACCTTTGTGTATTATTCGAGTTTTCATGCTGTTTACAATAAAAGTATGTTTTATTGACGATCACGTATCCACAACATCATGGGTATCATTAGGATACAATCATTGTCTGGGAGACATCACCGAGTGTGATATGATGGACTCAACCCCTCCTATTCACTCACAAAATTAATAATTTTTACAATTACAATTGTAAGGTCTTCTCATTATCTGTTGTCGTAACACATTGTTTTAAGTATTAATTGTTATTTACCGCACGTTTTCAGGTTGTGGGAAAAGCATATATGTGAATTAACTTTCTTTTGCTTTATGGTGACGGCTTATGAGATGGCTGCAGAGAAGAGGAATTTTATTTTGCAGTACTGATTATATTACGTAATTTACAGAACCTGAGAGATTACACAGGCAGCAGACTTCAGTGAAGATGCAACATATCATTGTCTGGGTGACATCATTTGAGTGTGATGCGATAGGCAATGGGATGCTACTTGAATGTCAGCCTGGTATCTCTTCTACCATTGAAAGCAACTACTAATGTCTATGGGAAACTGGGGATGGGTCCCAATGTGTCAAGCACAGGTTTCTGAGCTACGATTAAAATAAAATCGCTGCGGAAAAAGATGTTCCCTTGTTCACGCAGAGATATCTCAATATATTTGTGCATCACAGTCAAATACCTCCGTTTCCACGTGACAGATTAAAGCAAGCTGGCCTGACTTGGCAATATTACTCAAGTTATCTTGTAAGTTGGGTCATTCCCAGAAATACCGCTGGGTGAGATTTTACTTGAGTACACCTAAGAGTAACAGGTCAAAACGCATTGCGGCAAAATTTAAATGTAACTTTTAAATGAAGTGTAAAATGAAATTAAATGTTCCCACCTCATACAACGTATTTCCTCTCCACCTGAATTCTGGAGGGAATTCAGCCCCTTCCGTGAAAAGAAAGCGGCCAGGAAAATTGAGGCTGCAGCGAGAATTAGGAATAAAAATTACTGATTGATCCAGGAAACCCACACCGAGTCCATTTAATATTTTTCAGGAGGGTCCTGCATTTGTTTTTTTTTACATTTCAAAGATGTTTTCAGCCAATTTTGCAAGCGTGTGTACGTATGGCAGGAAGCTGGAGAACCCGGAGGAAAAAAAACGCATGCGGGGGGGGGGGGGGAAATATTCCCATGCAGATAGGACACACGATATAGGAGAGACGATATAGGAGAGACGATATAGGAGAGACGATATAGGAGAGACGATATAGGAGAGACGATATAGGAGAGACGATATAGGAGAGACGATATAGGAGAGACGATATAGGAGAGACGATATAGGAGAGACGATATTCGTCTGTACCTTGTGGTACTGTATTCCTCCTTGCACGCCCAGGGTACGTCACCCGAACACCCAACTCGTGCTGGGAAACGCGGAGGTTAGAATTCGAGTCTTCATGGCTCGCGGAAAACTGGGCAGAGGGGTCTCCCTCAAGTGAATAATAGCGCGGTTGCTCATCTCCGTTAGCGGCCATAAGCCTGTGGCTAAAACTCCACATTCCCATGGCGAGGATTAGTCTAAAATTGTTGGGGCAACCGCTGTTATGCAGTGGTGCGCGCATATAAACATACACGCACCACTGCATAACTGCACACACCATGCATGTACGTTTACAAATGCAGTTGTTTATGTATGTACATCATATTTTACTGATGAGTTTATATTGATATTTTTATACACATTGCATATTTTGTACATACTATACGTACACATCACGAACACTGCTGCAAACAACAATTGTAGAGCCCACAGAAGAGACATTACTCTCACCAGCTCATGACCATGCTCATGGAAATGCCATATGCTCCCTTTGTGCCTCCCGTATTGTATCTGTAGTTTAGCGGTTTCGATTGATTCAAGGCTTTCTGCCTAAGTTGCCCAACCATTTGTTAACAAAAATTTTTTTCCATTTTATGAAATTACTCAAATGGGATCTATGCACAGCAATCGTCGGCCCTCCTATTTGCATCACTTTCTTGTCCCAAAGTCACTCTTGCAAATGATACGTTGCTCGTGTCTTGAGGTCTCACCTGATTTTAAGAAAATAAATTTCAACCACAATCCTTCGTGTAAAATGTAGCGCTCACACTTGGGGTTGTCCATGTTTTGTGAGATTTAATGGTGCTGCGTATAATACTTCCTCGTGTGTGATGTGCCAGAGTGAAATGGGAGGAGTACATTTTGGGGTTTAGGGTATAAATGGAAGCCAAGATGGAAATGTAACTGACATTTGTATTGGGAAATCGTGAATTCAAATCGACAATGAGAAACCGATCACAACAAAAGCACGGGTGCAGGATGGCAAACAAATAGATTTTTCAACACACATATATGTGAACTGCAGATATATAAAACAAACTCTACCTTTTTTCTAAACCACTAGTTCAGAAGAACTGTATGGTGGCATTTTTTGGTCCTAGGTCACCAACTTGATACATTGAGAGAAAACATGGGACAACCAGTCTCACACTCAATTTATTCAGTTGGTCCACGAAAAAAATGATCACAATGCAGTTTTTTGGAACTTGTGGTTTTTCGTAAATCTTTTGTACATCTCTGTGTGTGTGTGTTATTAAATCTACATAGGATAACAGTGTAGAATTGTGAAACATAACAATTCAGTGGATTGTTTTCCAAAACGCAAGTATTTTAATTTGTATGGAAATATATATTCGGTGTTGTAATTGTATAAGTTTTAATTTCCAAGCATTTTTACATGTGTATATTAAATATGTCTATATATGTCTATTATACTGTATGTAAGGTGGTTTACATTTTAAAGAGCAAGTTTTGCCTTGCATTTGACTTATTTAAGGCAAACGTACATAAATGGGTGTTTAACATTGTTTTTAAATGTATTGCTACAGGTAATTTATATTACACGACAAGCGAGGTTCCTGCCGAGGTCTCGATATCCAATTGCTTTGCATCAACAGACTTGAACTTGTGATGTGCGCGTTTTCAATGCAACCCGGTTTCAAAATTCCGCGCAACATATGATGACCAAAGAAAGTTCCTGCAGCACAAAGTGAAACATGCATCCTGTGCAGAATAGCTCATGGCAGTAAAGCAAGCCGCTTGCTCAGTTATGGGATAACCCAGATATAACACAATGGGTTATCACTTGTTTTTAATTTAGAATACATCCTGCAGAACCATCAGAACTGCACTTGCTTCAGTTGCACAAATGATACTGTCCACATTTATTATTTGAGCTTGCTTTGGACGAATTAGTTGCAAAAGTACACTTTTTTTCTGATATAACCTTCAAAATCGTGTAAGCTCCGATTAGCAAGGTTGACAACAAAGTACGGTGCGAAATAAGTTCAGCATCCATACAAGTTGGTTATCATGAGAAACTGGGATATAAACCCATACTTTCAGCAGTCAGCTATTTAACTCCAGACATAAGAAGAGTGCATTGGGTCCCACAGGTCACCCCAGCCACTTGTCCCCTCTCAATTTGGCGTCAGCCCTCATTCGTAACGCGAGGAAGTGATCACAGCAAAGGTTTGTGCAGAGGACTCACGGCAAAGGCCTCTCAATTATGACGGGACAACAGAGCCTTCTGGTCTTGAATACAGTCGGTGCTGTTATGATCACATGCTTTTCGTCAACGTTAACTGGAGTTCATGCTTTAACGTGCCGAGGACAAGTTCGACCATTACCAGCTTCCTCTGCCAGGCGTAGAAACATTAGAAGAAACACTCTCGTGATTTGCTCACGTCTTACACGATGTGAGAGGGGAAAAGCTCAACTGAAGTTATTGCCGTACAGATATACGAGCACATGTGTCAGCGGATGGGTCGGTGATGGAATTGTTGCGCAACGAATGAAAGTCCTGCAGGCGAGCACCAGTGTCTTTCAAGCACATTCACAACGCGGCCAGGGGGAAATATTCTAACCTACGACACCGTCCACGTGTACGAAGAAACAAAACGGTCACAGAATTAACTCAAAAGTGACGGCGTCTCTCTGCTTGAATGAGCGAGGCGGTGCTCGTCTCTGTTGGTAGCCCTGAACCAATCGTGGGAAATGCTGTTCTGTTTTGATGGGAGTGTAACAGTTGAACCACTGTGTGCATCCCGAGGCTTCAACGGAGCAATGTACAGTGAGGGAAAAAAAGTATTTGATCTCCTGCTGATTGTGTACGTTTGCCCACTGACAAAGAAATTATCAGTCGATAATTTTAATGTTAGGTTTATTTGAACTGTGAGAAACAGAATAACAACAAAAATCCAAAAAAACGCATGTCAAAAATGGTATAAATTGATTTGCATTTTAATGAGGGAAATAAATATTTGACCCCTCCGCAAAACATGACTTAGTACTTGGTGGCAAAACCCTTGTTGGCAATCACAGAGGTCAGACGTTTCTTGTAGTTGACCACCAGGTTTGCACACATCTCAGGAGGGATTTTGTCCGACTCCTCTTTGCAGATCTTCTCCAAGTCATTAAGGTTTCGAGGCTGACGTTTGGCAACTCGAACCTTCAGCTCCCTCCACAGATTTTCTATGGTATTAAGGTCTGGAGACTGGCTAGGCCACTCCAGGAACTTAATATGCTTCTTCTTGAGCCACTCTTTTGTTGCCTTGGCCGTGTGTTTTGGGTCATTGTCATGCTGGAATACCCATCCACGACCCATTTTCAATGCCCTGGCTGAGGGAAGGAGGTTCTCATCCAAGATTTGACGGTACATGGCCCCATCCATCGTCCCTTTGAAGCGGTGAAGTTGTCCTGTCCCCTTAACAGAAAAACACCCCCAAAGCATGTTTCCACCTCCATGTTTGACGGTGGGGATGGTGTTCTTTGGGTCATAGGCAGCATTCCTCCTCTTCCAAACACGGCGAGTTGAGTTGATGCCAAAGAGCTCCATTTTGGTCTCATCTGACCACAACACTTTCACCCAGTTGTCCTCTGAATCATTCAGATGTTCATTGGCAAACTTCAGACGGGCATGTATATGTGCTTTCTTGAGCAGAGGGACCTTGCGGGCGCTGCAGGATTTCAGTCCTTCACGGCATAGTGTGTTACCAATTGTTTTTTTGGTGACTATGGTCCCAGCTGCCTTGATATCATTGACAAGATCCTCCCGTGTAGTTCTGGGCTGATTCCTCACCGTTCTCATGATCATTGCAACTCCACGGGGTGAGACCTTGCATGGAGCCCCAGGCCGAGGGAGATTGACAGTTCTTTTGTATTTCTTCCATTTGCGAATAATCGCACCAACTGTTGTCACCTTCTCACCAAGCTGCTTGGCAATGGTCTTCTAGTCCATTCCAGCCTTGTGTAGGTCTACAATCTTGTCCCTGACATCCTTGGAGAGCTCTTTGGTCTTGGCCATGGTGGAGAGTTTGGAATCTGATTGATTGCTTCTGTGGACAGGTGCCTTTTATACAGGTAACAAGCTGAGATTAAAAGCACTCCCTTTAAGAGTGTGCTCCTGATCTCAGCTCGTTACCTGTATAAAAGACACCTGGGAGCCAGAAATCTTTCTGATTGAGAGGGGGTCAAATACTTATTTCCCTCATTAAAATGCAAATCAATTTATAACATTTTTGACATGCGTTTTTCTGGATTTTTTTGTTATTCTGTCTCTCACTGTTCAAATAAACCTACCATTAAAATTATAGACTGATAATTTCTTTGTCAGTGGACAAACGTACAAAATCAGCAGGGGATCAAATACTTTTTTTCCCTCACTGTAGCTGGACTGAAGAGCCTCAGTGGATGATCGGTGTTGTAACCCAGTTAGTGCCGACTCCAACTCTTGCAACACTCAGTGTCCTCGGGTCTTATAATTAAGGTATGTGCAATTTGCATTGTGCAATTACCACATATGTTGGCACGATTCAAGTGGCTGGTAACTAAAAGATGTATCTGAATAACTACACTATTTCTACATGTTTGCTTCGACACTTTAAGTAAAACAAATCCAATGCCGTAAGGGAGGTATGGATCAAAATATATTAACTTGGAGCCGAGCATCGCGTATAGTTAAGCAAATAGTCAACATTACGTAATAGCTTGATAGATGGATATTATCCACGGTCCAGGTACAACACCTGAAACCCAGGGGGTCTGCAACCAAAACAACAAGAGGCATGTTGTTTGAATGTGGTAAAGAAAAAAACCCTCAATATTACAAGAGTCGCAGTGCACGTGAATTCGAGACGGTGGTCCTTAAAAAGAGCCACATGCGTACGTTGAACTTTTTTCGCACCGTACGTAGCCAACCGTGCTCATCGGACAGCTGACGGGGGCCCGATGTTGTGGCCACAATGTTGCTCGGCAGGCCGGGCGTACGACGCAGTGTTCCCCTGGATGTTGACAACCGTGCACTCGTCACAGACGTGCTTCAACATCGTTTGTGTTTTGCACATTTTTTGTGTTCAGTTTGTTGGTCTTCCCTCGCACATCCGATGAGCACGGTTGGCTACGTACGGTGCGAAAGAAGTTCAACACACGTACACTACATTTACTTGTCCCATGTTGTACGCTTGTACCGTGACGATGCTCCCTTTAAGTTGTTTCATGTCAGGAAATATACAATGTTGCGGGGCAGATTTTTCAATTCCCGATTTGGTGTCTGAAACTGCTAAATGCCAGTGGCCTTAACTTCTACAGCTGTACGTCGTCGGAAGTCTGTCTTTAATAGCTTTGCGAATAAATGTTTGACCGTGGTACATTTTTCGGTGTACTTACCTCTGAGTGAATACCAGCTGGATGTACAAGGGCATTTATGGCAGCGGTTCCCAAGATACTTGGCATGGACAGTGTTTAACACCAATTCCTTACGTTCCTGGTGCTGAAATGCATCCATAAAAAAACACTCAGCCGTAGGACTGGTTTTCAGGAGCGGCCGGCATCGGTTTTATTGATTTAAATATATTTTCACCCAATCAATAACGTGTTTTCACACTCAAAACAAATGGGATACCGGACCACTCCGAGAAAACCAACATGCGCGAGAAGGCAACACTGTCCCGACACAGATGGCAAGAGATTGCAATGAGTCAACGTGCTGCACTGCCTTTTCTTGGCTAGCCTTGGTATCGCACATCGACGCTCATGGGGGGGGGGGGGGGGGGGGGAGTTTCACAACATTTATGGGATTCACCAACCATCGCCTCCACAGGGCTGAATTACAACAGGCATGCGCCACCACTGTCCAGCGGTGTACCTGCGTGGAATTATTACAAACGGTAATTTGCCTAACAAGTCGTTCATTAAAGCCCGGTCGAAAATCCTAAAGAGGAACATTTCTGAAAAACTGTGAGACTTAGTGCACCATTAGGTGAAAGGTCAAGGTGCGGCCCTGCCATTGCTCGTCACGACACCCCTCGAGGGAATTTGGCCTCATCTTTTACGCTGGCCAGACGTCTTGGAAGATGTGGGATTACCCACACTTTACCCCACCTGCCAATCGACTGTGATGCACCAAACTTATATTCCTGGAGGATAGAGGTGGCAAGGAGGTTTGGGGGATCCAATAAATAGGTTTCAATTGCCCCCCACTGGGAGAACGAAGCGGAATTACCAGACAATCAGAATCTTTATTTATCCTGGAGAAATACGATGAGCTATGAAGCTCTTTTTTCACAGATGTCCAAATGTCCAAACCAGTACGCGCAAGCCGCTGCACTTCGAGAGAATCCCAACGCAACACTGGCAGCTCAGACTAAAAAAAAATCACGCAAACATAGACGCACTTTACAATGTGTATTTCCGCTTGTATTTGTATAGCAAACTCCGATTAATACAAATACGAAAGTGGAGTCACTATACGTATTCCCTCATCAGAAGAAAATGCAAAGGCAACGCCAGGAAGTTTTATAACCAATCTGTTATCTCGAAAAGTTACATTTGGAGAAAAAAAAAATCAGCATGCCTGCAGCTTATCCAGCGATATATATAAAAAAACAAATCTTAGTGTCTGAAAGATATAGCAATTATTTAAGTATTTTTCATATGGCACAACAAAAGGTACATAAATATGAACACTATGCCCAAGGCATACACCGTAGATCAAGAGTTTGTGAAAACAGCAGAGTTAACAGCACAGGGGCAGACTTAAGATTTTGGAAGCTGGTACTTGGAGTGTGCTGGTTTTGAACGTTACTAAACTTGAGGCGTCCCATCATCTTACACGGTTGGGATAAAAAAAAATAATCTCAGTTTAGGAAGTGCTAATCATGGTTCTGGTTAAATGGTGAACAGAATGGCAGCTTCAATTATGACCACGGGAACATCACCTCGACTCTCCGTGTCCATGCCCCTTGCACAACTCCAGATCTGCCACTGAGCTAGCGTACTTCCATTTTAAATGGGATGTTCGTACCGTTGACATAAATATCTCCATGAAGCCAATGCACTTGAATCACACAAGTAGGTTCTACTTGACCATCGTGTGCATGTTCATTCCAAGCGCTAAAACAATTGTGACCTTTTTTTACGCTACCGTCAGACAATTTGTACGCATGTCTGTCCCTTCATAAACAGCAATGGATGCCCTTGCATTGATTTTCTTTGTTTTTTTTAAGCCAATGCAATATTGTTCCAAGGTCACTGTCAAGGTTACATCGTGAAAAACACAACATTGATTACACGGATACAAAAGCCAGGGCATTTTGTTTTAGATAATGCCTCTCAAATTAAATGTTCACGTTGAACGCTTGCCATCACTGTTCCTTTAGTTGCCTTCTAGGAAAAGAAAGGGAAAACAAAACTATGGCAGATGTAATTCAAATGTTTGGCAAATTATACATTATAGTAATTCAAAATATTACATTTAATTGTTAAGGGTCATTAACAAGTTTACAACATAATTTTTGAAAGGAGAAATGTAAAACAAAGTTATATATTTTTTATTTTGACAATGACTCAGCACAAAATGGCCAACTCTTGTGAGTGCTGTGTTTTAGAAGTCTATTTAAAGTCCATTTAACAGTGTATGTCATGCTTTGGTAACTAAAACCATCTTAAGTACTTGGTGGGCTATGTCTATAACATACTTTTGCCAAGTTCTGCCACTTAAAAGTCTTCCAAGTCCAGAAGTAAGGCGCGAATACTTAAACCTACCAACAATGAGCTAAACTGTTTTTCAAATTCAACTAAACATGTTTTGCCATTAAACCCAACAGAACTTCCATCAACAACGCAAGACCAATGTGTTGACATTTTGTCCCACAAAGATCCATGTACAGCAAACTTGCAAATAAAGAATAACCAAAAAAAAAGCATTGCATTATAACAAAAAACAAGCAAGCACACGCGTTGTTTATAATGTATATATGTAAAAAATAATAATTAGGAGTCACGGGGCATCTTATGCCAGACCCGGTCAAGCTCCTTTTGCAGCTTCAGCACCGCTCGGGTGCAATCTGCGAAACCAAATAAATATATTTTTTAAAAACCGCTCCAATCAGTGAAGGGCAGTAGAATCGAGTAGATGAAAAGACCCCCAAATTGTGTGGATTCACAGAGGTTACACAAGTCAAGCAGGGCAACGTCAGATATATAGCTTTCTAATTAGTCATGCAGCTTCTGTGCATGTGTTTAACTACCACTCACGTGTACCTTTTCTTTAAAATATATAATTTTTGGGTACTATTGTTAACTTGTGAATATGTATTGTTGAGTGGGAACAAGTGTGCCACTTAACACCGGGTTTGAGTGTCCATTGTAAGACCACTCAAGTGTAAAGATGTCTATAACTATATTATGAGAATTACGGCAAAGCAAAAGAATGGTGGAAATTAGGCATTATCCAAAGCAGCACAATTTTTTTAACTCAATCCAAAATAAAACTTATCGACAGATTTGCATTGAGTGGTGCTTTTAAGTGGGACTGCAATATCATTTCCACATCCAATTCTGGATCATACTCGGAGGTTCTTGAAATAACACATTTTGCCAAGTTAGCAGTCTTATCATTCGATTGCATAACTTGTCTCGCGGCTTCAGAGCAAACGATGACAAGTGATCAAGATTGAATTTTTACAAAATGTACGAGCTTCCCTCCCACCCACGTAAGGTAAAGAACCAACGTTTATAACTACGTTACAATCTACGTTATAAACGTTATAACTCTATCCAGGTGTTGTCAATAAACGATAGACAACATCTGGTGTATAATCCTGTATTTACAAATGGTAGCTCCCAGAGCTGCAATAAGTTCAATCAAGTGACTTTCAAATGTTTTACAGTGGTTCTTTGTGTAAAGTAATTCGTGAATGCCTCAAGACCATTGACTCATTATCCTTTAGAATATGATGCAACCTTGGGTGAGAGTCCAAAATGATAACAGATCTCAGCAATGTTGGTTCTGTGGTCTGACATACAGATACAACAATCACTCCCAAGTCACGTGAAAACAGACCAGATTCGATGCAACCCAATCGATTTAGGATGGTGTGAAAAACCACAAGGTTGATCCCTTGTAGAGTACTGGGAGAGATGTTCACAGCCACTATCCAACCACGACTATCCTTAATAATATTGCCTCCCTAGGAATGAATGCCACTCCTTAGCAGCAACGTTGTTGTTATCCTTTAGGGAATCAGTTCTGTGCAGTAAATGATGCAAAAACGACTCTACACGAGGCAATTGGCTCGTAAGCCTATCCAATACAGCTGGTCCTGAACCCCACGGTCATTGTTATACAACACTGCTAGACCACCACTCATAGCAATACAAGCACCTCTCTTAATGGAAAGTGTGCTGCTATCGTATTTGAATTTCTGCTCTTAAGCACAATTCCCTCCGTTGAGTGCATATTGACACGCAATGTCGGCTTAGTCACACACACATCACATCCGTAGAGATCAAAACTACTTCCAATAGCATCAGTGTGCATAGATCAAAATCGCTCGTGAACACTGGCACATACAGATGGTAGCCTCCACTAAATCTCCTCTACAACAGCGGAATGCTCCGAAGCTCATTGCCAACACCTGTGTGACTCTACAAAAGTTGACACTGCGCCAAAAGGTATAGGCAATGACCACGGAGGTGATTTTGTTTCGTTGTAGGTGTCAACTTGCCAACAACCTTTAGTGCATTTCAATTCTATTCATTTCTTATGTAAGAAAAATAGACTTTAAGTGGCGTATCAAGCACGTGACGCCAAGCAGATTAAACTACGGCAACAGCAAAGTCCAGGGAATATTTATTTTGGCGTCAGGAGCTCATCTTTGCTCCTTGGCCAGGCACTTTTCAGCAGAACCAATAAAAATACTCAGAAGCTCCATCAAGACGTATACCTAAACTAACATGTATGGTAACAGTGAAATATTTGCAACAAGTAGGGCCCTTTTATGATATTTTCTGAATTCATACCAACCCAGTAAACCATATTGTTACATTTATACTTCAACAAAGAGTATAAACTTTAGAAAATGGTGTGTGTACAAAAGAAAGGTAAGTAATGCTTCTGCATATATTTTTTTGGCACTGCTCATTGCAAATTTTCAAATCTATATATAAAACTCAGGCAAAAGAATGTGTTTAAAAGCCCATATTCAGGCCACGAGTTTGTGGTGGGAGGTTATTGAAGTCGAGCGATGTAATAAGGCTGCTGCCGGGCACAGAAGACAGCCAACACCACTCCATCTAGATCGTCGATGTCCTTTCCATTCCGTCTGCAACAGAGAATTGGTCAGCATGTTAAATGGATGGACAGAACAACAATGGTAAGGGTGCGGCTGACAAGGGAAGGCTGAAAGATACCCAATCCAGTGACACCCTTAGCATTATCTGGTAAAGGAAAAGCAAGTGACCAATGCAAGATCTCGTGTATAATCTCAAGAAGGCAAGAAATAATAGTGTCCTCCAAATGACATGGGTGGGATATAGCGCATCCCCGAATACAATTGCATTTCTAGATTTGAAACACGGCAGAACAAATTCTTCTGCCGTGGGTGATCACGATATAATTTTCTCCGATACCAAGGTTCTTTGCAAACCCACGGGTTTTTATCAGAGATTTGTTCACGAGGCAATTCAGATTTACAAACACAGACACAATTTTAACCGAGAGGATGGTTTCAAATTAAGCAACCATTGGAAAGATGTTCTGAATCAAACCAAACATTAAACTAATTTTCAATGGTACAGTATATTTTTTCAAGTAGTGGTATCCCAAACTTTCGCAGCTGCTTAAATTCCCTTTTCACACCATCAATATGTAAACTCCCCCCTCCCCTCCTTGCCTACCTGCACATGTTCACCCCCTCTACACCGTTCATCATGCTAAGTCCACCAATTAAATGCTAATTTTTATGCCAATTCCTTTGTCAAGGCGCTCTGTTTCTTCTCACACAGCTTAAAGGTCACGGTCTGAGCTTGGCTGTGTTCACTCCAGCGCTGTCCTCTAGACAGTCTGGTCCCTTCACCTGATGAAGGCCACTTGTGTTGTGGCCGAAACGTCGTGATTTTTGTTGTTTTATTTTTTTACCTACGTGACTTTACCGAATAGAACCAAAGAGTACAATTGCATTTATTGGAGGATCTGCTGAAACTAAAATTGGGGAGGGGGGGGGGAATATTGCACTCCCAAAGCTCAAAAAATAGTAACGTATGTACAGCGAGGGAAAAAAAAGTATTTGATCCCCTGCTGATTTTGTACGCTTGCCCACTGACAAAGAAATGATCAGTCTATTATTTTAATGGTAGGTTTATTTGTACAGTGAGGGACAGAATAACAACAAAAAAATCCAGAAAAACGCATGTAAAAATGTTATAAATTGATTTGCATTTTAATGAGAGAAATAAGTATTTGACCCCTCTGCAAAACATGACTTAGTACTTGGTGGAAAAACCCTTGTTGGCAATCACAGAGGTCAGACGTTTATTGTAGTTGCCAACCAGGTTTGCACACATCTCAGGAGGGATTTTGTCCCACTCCTCTTTGCAGATCTTCTCCAAGTCATTAAGGTTTCGAGGCTGACGTTTGGCAACTCGCACCTTCAGCTCCCTCCATATATTTTCTATGGGATTAAGGTCTGGAGACTGGCTAGGCCACTCCAGGACCTTAATGTGCTTCTTCTTGAGCCACTCCTTTGTTGCCTTGGCCATGTGTTTTGGGTCATTGTCATGCTGGAATACCCATCCACGACCCATTTTCAATGCCCTGGCTGAGGGAAGGAGGTTCTCACCCGAGATTTGACGGTACATGACCCCATCCATCATCCCTTTGATGCGGTGAAGGTGTCCTGTCCCTTTAGCAAAAAAACACCCCCAAAGCATCCTGTTTCCACCTCCATGTTTGATGGTGAGGATGGTGTTCTTGGGGTCATAGGCAGCATTCCTCTTCCTCCAAACACGGCGAGTTGAGTTGATGCCAAAGAGCTCCATTTTGGTCTCATCTGACTACAACACTTTCACCCAGTTGTCCTCTGAATCATTCAGATGTTCATTGGCAAACTTCAGACGGGCATGTATATGTGCTTTCTTGAGCAGAGGGACCTTGCGGGCGCTGCAGGATTTCAGTCCTTCACGGCGTAGTGTGTTACCATTTTTTTCTTGGTGACTATGGTCCCAGCTGCCTTCAGATCATTGACAAGATCCTCCCGTGTAGTTCTAGGCTAATTCCTCACCGTTCTCATGATCATTGCAACTCCACGAGGTGAGACCTTGCATGGAGCCCCAGGTCTAGGGAGATTGACAGTTCTTTTTTGTTTCTTTCATTTGCGAACAATCGCACCAACTGTTGTCACCTTCTCACCAAGCTGCTTGGAAATGGTCTTGTAGGCCATTCCAGCCTTGTGTAGGTCTACAATCTTGTCTCTGACATCCTTGGAGAGCTCTTTGGTCTTGGCCATGGTGGAGAGTTTGGAATCTGATTGATTGCTTCTGTGGACAGGTGCCTTTTATACAGGTAACAAGCTGAGATTAGGAGCACTCCCTTTAAGAGTGTGCTCATAATCTCAGCTCGTTACCTGTATAAAAGACACCTGGGGAGCCAGAAATATTTCTGATTGAGAGGGGGTCAAATACTTATTTCCCTCATTAAAATGCAAATCAATTTATAAAATTTTTGACATGCGTTTTTCTGGATTTTGTTGTTGTTATTCTGTCTCTCACTGTTCAAATAAACCTACCATTAAAGTTATAGACTGATCATTTCTTTGTCAGTGGGCAAATGTACAAAATAAGCAGGGGATAAAATACTTTTTTCCCCTCACTGTAAAGCAATGTGCTGACTTGTTGTGAGGTGCATCTCCACACAGCACAGCAACATCACAATCTAAAATAATACTAAATTGGGTCTTCGTAGAAATCATGGGGTTATGGAAAAAACTAAGTGGGTACATCAGGGAACCTTTGATGTTGAGTGACGGTAGAGTCGCCCTTGAAGAAGAGCCTCTTAGCTCACTCGGCTTTACCCGGCAAAAACTTGTGATTGTGATTCTGATTCTTACCCCTGAAACAGCTCAATAGTGATGAGACACAATATATCAGGAGGTAGCAACTTAATAATTTTTTAAAACCATGAATAAACTTAAATTTGTTTTAATCTACATGAACCAGCATGTATTTGTATAATACGTAAGTATACAGCTCTCACTTGGGCTTTGATGTAAAAACATGACTGAATAATAACTTAATTTCTCAGGAAATCACGGTCAAGGGCAACAGATTACTGACATCCCGATTGACCGATGACCTTCCAGACGATCACGCCCCCTGTCTCATTATTACCAACACCCTTTAAACGGCCAATATGGCAGGGAATAACAGGATATAATGATGCGCTTGCAACACGGCATCCAATAACGCGCAACTATGACCAGACAAGATGCCTTCTCAAATGCAACAGAAGTTGCGCAAGGACTATCAACATGTGTTCCTGCCAACAGTGAGCCAAACACAATAAGCGCCAATGTAACTATAGCCAGGGTGGTTCTGTATCAACAACCACTCAGATCAAGACTGAATGCAAGCTGCTGTCCTGATTGGTGGTTGATGGGGCTGGTTTAGATGATATAACAATGAGTATCCTAAGAGTCAGCACTTCCATCACTGAGCCAGTTTGAAGAGTTGACAGTTTTGACTTCTATAAACACAATGATATTTCCTGTACAAAATGATCTAAGATTGGACATTGAGACGGACATTTAAAGGAGGATATGTTACGCCAAGATCATGACCAAAATGCCAAATATTAAAACTACCATATTCTACGGGTCTTTCGGTGAAGTCACGTAGATAGGTTCAAAGAAAATAACAAAAAACTACGACGTTTCCATGGCAACACATGCGGTCGTCATCACCTATTTGGTTCAATGACCCTATCCGCATCAACAGCAGAACAGTCAGGATGAAGTGTAGCATTAAAACAGGGGATATCATAGAAATACTTCTCGTGTCACATTAATAGGGTTATTCATGGCGGGGGGGGGGGGGATGGTCACAATTATATGCTCTCAAACAAGTGTTTACAGTATGTAAATAAAGCTTAAAAATTGTTTTTAAGAAATTCCAAATTAAAGAAACTAAATAACAATTTTGTTTTATATGACATTTTGTGGTTTCATTAATGACGAATTTGAGACCATCAACTCGCCACTAACACTTGAACACATGTTTTATCACGTGGCTGAAAAAACACAGCTTAGAACCCATGTGGCACCAACTCAGTGGTCAGACATACCCCCCCCCTCCAGCTCCCACAATGCAGTATGTAAGGGGAGTAGACAGCTTCCATTTCCAATTTGCAATATCCACCTTCAAGGGCATGCTCCGTCATGCTCCGGCACAGCGACTCCAGCCTCGTATTTATCTCCGGCTCTGTCACCAGAACTTGAAACTCTGTTCCCAAACAAAAAAACACGTAAAAAACGAACGCCGTGCAAAAATCAAACAACGGGGGCCAATAACATCAGAACGTGCAAACCAGGTCATTGTTCAGTTGACCTTGAACCTTTGCCGCCCACAGGCTGTGACTGGCCAACATATGGAGGGTGGGACTCATTGAGTGCTGTATACCGCTCTTAAGCTACATGGCTAGCAGACGATGCGAGCCATGTTGCTTAAGAGGAAGTAACAGGACCTGGAGCTACTAAATGCGGTCTACCAATAAAGTGTCAAAATATACATCTGCAATACAGTGATTTGGAGGGGAGGCTGGTGGTTCATTCAAAGATCTCTGTGTGCGCGAGACCCCACCAACGCAGATCAGTGCAATGGCAGTGGAGATATAAGGCTGTTGTCCTTTGTAGGGACTTTAAGCGTCATCTACCAGTCTGCACAAATTTTATCAAACTGGAGGTCCAGTTTTTGTTCCACTATACAGCAGGACTCTCAAATAAAAGACATTCAGGTTCATGCTGTTAGTTGTCAAGCCCAATACATTTTCTTCGCATTACATTATCTGCGATGGAAAATGCTGCCTCCCCACCCCTTCAACCACCAACCTCAAGAGATCATGGACATGAGAGCGGCCTACACTTTCCTCTATCCAGGGAACATACATTTTCCACTCCTTTCGTAAAGGCTGACATAGATGCAGAGCAACTACAATTTTACATTCAGGTGTTACAAGCCAGATAACCGCGTCAGGAGCAGCTGAGTGCATTGCTGTAATGTCTCCTTCGTATTTTTGAATCAGGCATTGCTTCGTTATATGTTGTACGGTCTGTTCTGGATGACCGCAGTCACACATTGTAGAGTTGTTAATCTTCCATTTGTGCATTAGGTATCCACATCTGCCATGGTTTGTGCGGTTGCCATTTAGGGTGGACCATAAATGGAAGGAACCGGAGAGAGGAAGACCTAGCAGAGAATGGCTTGACGACATAAGAAATTGGGCCCAGGCAGATTGGAACTATTTGAATATATTGGCACAAGACAAGAGGAAAGTGGAAACAAATAACAAAATGTGCAGTGGACACCTACGGGCTATCTGCCTTTGGATCGTGATGATGATCTCATGTAAAAACATTTTCCAACACCTCAAAGGTGTATAACTTAAAATGGCAAAGAATAAAATAAGAACCAAAGATTGTAGGATAAACAAAAAGGCAGTGGTTTTTTGGTACTTTGGATTCAGCTGAAGCAAGCAATCAATGACTAATGCGATGGGACAATAAAGGCATTACATCGGTAGATAACTTGCTTTGCTCTGTCACTGCGTCATTCATGCAGGTACTCGGCAGATGCCCTGAATAATTTCCACTGCGTTCCCATTACATCTTCTTGCATTTTCCCATGTGCTTGTGAAACGCTCAATGAGAGCCAAAGCAACGAATGTCACGTAGCCCGGGCATGGACACAACGATGACTCCGTTTTATTTTCCAGCAGGTGCAAACAGTAAACTCAATTAGCGAATCAAATAATTGTACTTGCAAAGGTCACCCTGAAAAAGTCAACTAATAAGATTATCCAGTGGGGTGGCTGGATGGCTCAGGGATCGGAGCACTGCGTTGGCACCTCCGAGATCCTGGGTTTGAATCCACACAGCCGTACGTTATTTAAATTGCGTTAAGTGACGTGCGATAATGGTCTCAGCCTGATCACCAATGACGGCACAAAAAAAGACCATCTCACATTTGGTATTTCATTTAATTCAATTATATTCCCGATTTGCGGGTTAAATATTTCAAATTTGATTGACGTTTTTTTGCAGGGAATATAAATGGAGCATTTAAGTGACATCAGAAGTAGTTCTGTGACTTCATCTATTCTCTGACATGGGGTGAGTTTCAAGGTAAGTGAAAAATATGGAAATGTCTTCATTCCATGACATGATGCCAATAACACAATTGGAATATCATTGGGGGAAAAAAACAAATAAAGAATATATGACGTCTTCTCCAGCAAGTATTTTTTCTATCTTCAATTGCACCAGTCAATCGAATAAAATGAAATGTGTTAACACAATGTTTTATTTATATATATATATTCATGAGGCAATTCATCTGGAACACCATTTTCTACCCAGTTCGAGATGGTTATTCATCAATGAAATAAACAAATGCATAATTGCAAGTAATAATCTTTATACAGTGAGGGGAAAAAGGTATTTGAACCCCTGCTGATTTTGTACGTTTGCCCACTGACGAAGAAATGATCAGTCTATAATTTTAATGGTAGGTTTATTTGAACAGTGAGACAAAATAACAACAAAAAAATCCAGAAAAACGCATGTCAAAAATGTTATAAATTGATTTGCATTTTAATGAGGGAAATAAGTATTTGACCCCTCTGCAAAACATGACTTAGTACTTGGTGGCAAAACCCTTGTTGGCAATCACAGAGGTCAGACGTTTCTTGTAGTTGGCCACCAGGTTTGCACACATGTCAGGAGGGATTTTGTCCCACTCCTCTTTGCAGATCTTATCCAAGTCATTAAGGTTTCGAGGCTGGCGTTTGGCAACTCAAACCTTCAGCTCCCTCCACAGATTTTCTATGGGATTAAGGTCTGGAGATTGGCCAGGCCACTCCAGGACCTCAATGTGTTTCTTCTTGAGCCACTCCTTTGTTGCCTTGGCCGTGTGTTTTGGGTCACTGTCATGCTGGAATACCCATCCATGACCCATTTTCAATGCCTTGGCTGAGGGAAGGAGGTTCTCACCCAAGATTTGACGGTAGATGGCCCTGTCCATCGTATCTTGGACGGTGAAGTTGTCCTGTCCCCTTAGCAGAAAAACACCCCCAAAGCATAATGTTTCCACCTCCATGTTTGACAGTGGGGATGGTGTTCTTGGGGTCATAGGCAGCATTCCTCCTCCTCCAAACACGGCGAGTTGAGTTGATGCCAAAGAGCTCCATTTTGGTCTCATCTGACCACAACACTTTCACCCAGTTGTCCTCTGAATCATTCAGATGTTCATTGGCAAACTTCAGACGGGCATGTATATGTGCTATCTTGAGCAGGGGGACCTTGCGGGCGGTGCAGGATTTGAGTCCTTCACGGCGTAGTGTGTTACCAATTGTTTTCTTGGTGACTATGGTCCCAGCTGCCTTGAGATCATTGACAAGATCCTCCCGTGTAGTTCTGGGCTGATTCCTCACCGTTCTCATGATCATTGCAACTCCACGAGGTGAGATTTTGCATGGAGCCCCAGGCCGAGGGAGATTGACAGTTCTTTTGTGTTTCTTCCATTTGTGAATAATCGCACCAACTGTTGTCACTTTCTCACCAAGCTGCTTGGCAATGGTCTTGTAGCTCATTCCAGCCTTGTGTAGGTCTACAATCTTGTCCCTGACATTTTTGAACAGCTCTTTGGTCTTGGCCATGGTGGAGAGTTTGGAACCTGATTGATTGAGTCTGTGGACAGGTGTCTTTTATACAGGTAACAGAAAGATTTCTGGCTCCCAGACACTTGGGAGCCAGAAATTTTTCGGATTGAGAGGGGGTCAAATACTTATTTCCCTCATTAAAATGCAAATCAATTTATAACATTTTTGACATGCGTTTTTCTGGATTTTTTTGTTGTTATTCTGTCTCTCACTGTTCAAATAAACCTACCATTAAAATTATAGACTGATCATTTCTTTGTCAGTGGGCAAACGTACAAAATCAGCAGGGGATATTAAAAATATTACAAGATATTTCATTGCAAATATCAACGTATAATTATAGTCCTATGTATCAATGTATTGATTCAGCAACTAAAATCTATTCTTACACACAATGCATGCAAATTGTGCTGTATATATTTCATGAACTTATGCAAATAGTATGCAAACAGCTTTCTATAAAGCGTTGCATTACAAGCACACATCAACACAGTCAGCAATAACAATGGTTACTCATATCGTAGTAAGGAAATGAAATGTCTGGTGACTGATGTAATCCCTTTTAGAGCTACAGTTCATGAAAACATCATGATGTTGTTACTTCCATTAAATTGAACCGAAGGGCTATACAAATTTTTTCGCGCACTGCACTGTGAACTGGGCCACCTGTGCGATTACAGGACATGGCTAATATTAGTGGCAGGTGATATCTGAACAAATCCATCGCCAATCTGTACTGGCCAGTGTGGTTAAGTATGCTCAAACAAACACACATTACCTACATGGCATGGAGCGGCCCTTCATCTAGCAGTGGATTATGGGCTTAAAAGCTAACAATAAAAAATAAAAACGTATATCCCTTTGTCAATTTATTTTAGGTGGAAAGACATTGCCTATCACACCACTAGACAGTTTGAAATCAGAATTTTTAATTTTCTGCCAAAAAATCCTTGGAGCTGCCTTTTTCGCCAAATCGTGATTTACTAGGCCTTGCGTCTTTTATACAGCAATGCTAGCAATGTTCATCTTCTTTGGTTCTTTCGGTAAAGTCACGTAGAATGAGAATAAAATAATAAAAATAAAATAAGACAATACAATTCTCACGACGTTTCAGCCACAACACAAGTAGCCTTCTTCAGGTGAAAGAACAGAACCGTCGGGACGACAGAGCTTCAATCGAAATTTAAAAGCTAGCAATGTTGTTGATGCAACCACACAGCACATATTGCGTTTCCTTCTGCCAGATACCCACAACTGTTGCGGTCAATATCCATCCTCCCAAAGTATGCCCTTCCAATATCCTATCATCTGGCCTTGGCCACCAATCTCTGGCTACTCCACTCCAAAGGCTCTCTTCTTCATTGACTTGTCCTCTTCTAAGATAACTGTCACTTTTACATTAAACTTAATTAGCTACAGTTCCACTATAATCTTTGTCTAAATATCTATGCCTACCAATTAATGAGTAAATGCTCATTAAGTTGCCGCCGATAACACCTCAACATATAGAGGAACCACAGAGCTTTGGGGGTTGAATTTGGCACCGAATCATGGCACGGCTGGAAAGACGAGCAGGAAAAGGCTGCCTTTTCCTGCTCGACTTTGGTTCCTCGTGCCTCTTGAGTTGTTTCCGCTCATCCATGTGCTCTCTCTGCGTAGGTTCCCATTGTCTTCAACCCCTCCCCCCACCTCTACAGCTTATTTAAGTGTCTCTGTGCGTCATCCCTCCAGACCTTTTTATCTCTTGGTGTGGTGTTACTCTGGTTGTCCATCTGTGCTGCCCAATATATCTTTCCTTGGATGTTATTCCCTATGTATGTATCTCTTGCTACCTTGTACCTCGTATTTGTTCACTCTGTATATGCTGGTTTGTTCAACCCAGAGGATGAACGTGAAATTTAGCAGTCTTCTGAAATTCGTGGTAAACCAGGTCAGTGTCTAACTGTGTTGATGGCCGACTGGTTTTGCATCACGTTATTTTTTTCTTAGGTTTGTTGAGTTTCTCGTCTCTCATCTCCTTGTTGTATTTGCCTCCGTACAGTTTAACGTTCTCTATGTACAGTTTAACGTTCTCTATGTGCTATGTACGTGATGTCCCCCTATGTGCTCCCTCACTAATTGTTTTACAACTGATGATGATCGCTTGTGTTGCGTTCGAAACGTCGTGATTTATTATTATTTTAATATAATTTCTACATGCGTGACTTTACCGAAAAAAAACAATGAGTATTGTTTTCTCTCTTCGAGAGTGAGCGAATACTGTGCAGCATGTTATAAGTTACATTTATTATTATTACTACCAATCTTAGCTAGCATGCTTCTGGGCCAGAAAAAAAACATACTACCAAAAAGAAAGCTACAATTAAAACATATGTTTCCGATTTATGCTGAACATGCATCTTATATGTAAGTATAAAGTCTATAAAAAAAAACCTCACTCCACTGATCATACAAACTAAAGAGCAACGTTAAGTATGAACTTTGTTAACTTTTTAACAGGCAAATGTCTGAAGTAATGGGAACAAGTTGCTTAACAGGTCTGAAACCTGCCTTGTGAGACAAGGCATGGCGGATTTAGGGGACATTTATTTAACTTAATTGGTTCAGGGGATTTCCCCCACTGCTGGTGTAACTCGACGCCTTTGACAGAAATGCACATGACAATGTGTACATCGTATGGTACATTGTTTTCAGAACTGTGGACTATACTATTCAAACCGTCGGGAAAGTTAAGTTGTACCTTCTGACACATCATTCAGTCTTTTATTCTATAATATCTTGGCAAGTCAACAGAAAGGCATCTAGACAAGCAGCCACCAGGCCCGAGTACTGCTGCATGCAGAAGGTGAGCGAGAACAAATTAAATCACGCACGTAGAGCATCCGTTGATTTTTTATTTATTTTGCTTGCAGTTATACTAGCTAGTTAGGAAAACCTCGCAAAATGGACAATTGGTTAAAATATTGATGTTCATTATTCATACATTTAATTCTCAGAACAATGTTGGGTCAGGTAAGGGCGGTAACTCGGTTGAATTTTGTTTCAACCGAGTTACCGCCCTTAGCTGACTCAAGGGGTACAGTACCAAAAAAAGGTAGCGAACCACTGGTACGTACAATTACAGTCTGTTCTCCTATAACGCATGCTTTCCTAACGCGAATTGGATATAACGCAATGAACGTATCGGGGAACACGTTTTTTATAACGCGGATGCGAATTGGATATAACGCGATTGAGTGAACAGAATTACGTCGGGCGAGCAGGAATAAGCAGTTGTGCGGCTGCCTCGGCGTGGCATCACACAAGGTGGGATGCTGCTGGATGCTTCTAGATGCTCCCATGCTCGTCAGTCTTTGTTCAGCCTGCATACGCATCTCAAGTGCTATCGAGGACTGTGCCTTACCCGATATGAAATATGATTTATTATAACGCGAATTTTCCATCACGCGGTATTCTTCAAGAAAGCAACTACCGCGTTACAGGAAACCAGAATGTAGTATAAATGGTGGTGGTGATGAGGTTTAAATAAGCACATCCTTAGCCTGAAACCAAACAATCATAGAAATTCCACGCATTTTATTGACATTTTAATGTCGGGGTTCACAATAGCAACCTTTTACCCTGCAGGATACAGAATGCCTACATTGAGTCATAGGTAGCCTGTTGATACAAAGCTGAAAAGTTATATTTCCCAATCATCATCACAACCATGCCACCCTGCGCATTAGTTACAGATAAAAGGGGAAAACCTATTTTCAATCTCAAAGCTGCTGAATACTGGCTGTATCTGGATGCTAACGCTATATACTTGATGTACCCAGCAAAAATATGCACAGATGAGTCCGCAAGCTACTTGAAGGACATTCCATTCACTCCATAGCTCTCTGTGTTGCCATTTTCAAGCGATTATAATGACACTTGATACACCTATATTGCAGGGTGGTTTTGTTGAGCTATGAAATGTGGCCAGGTGTCTTCTGGAAAATAAATTAATATCTCAGTGGGCTTTGCCAAGTAAGATAAAAAAATGAGTTTTGTTCGTACATTTTTAAAAGTGATTTGTTTACCTTTTCAATACAATGCAGGTTTTTTGGGTTAGATCGCATAAATATATAAATGTGTCGTAAAACCTGCCACCACCCGACACAGCCAATTAGTACGGGTTGTGACGTAAAGAGAATATGCCAATTCGTTACTAGTACAGCACACCGGTGTGTTGGAGAGCCAAGCCACAACAATCCGAGTACCACGTTTTGACAGTAATTACAACTAGCTTTATCAGGCGACAGCCAGATTTGTGAAATACAGAAATTAATATCTGGTACAAAAGATATATTACCGAAGATATCAATAGAAGGTGTGTACCAGATTAATTTCACTTGTGGCAAATGCTATGGTGGGCAAACAGGACGAATGGTCAGCACGCCACTAAAAGAACACCAAAGAAATATGAAATACTCCCAAATACAACTGTCAGCAGTAGCAGAACACGCTTGCCAACAAGGACACTCAATACATTTTGATAATGTTGAAGTTCTATGCCAAACAAGTTACTACTGGCCAAGACTAATTAGAGAATCTATCGAAATTGAGAGAAATAAAAATACATTTAACCGTTCGGATAGCTACAGAATTAATGCTGCTTGGAAGCGAATCATCAAATAATACATTGTGTAAATGCATGCCGATACAGGCCACCATACTTCAATAGGGATTACCGTAGGGCATGGCTATGTTAGTACACACAATGGACAGCAAGTATAAGATCAATGGGCCCGCAGAATGCACGTTGATTCATCAATCCCCCCCCCCATTTCGCGCAAGAGCAGCAAAAAATTGTTGTCATCACATCTATGCCTCTATTTAAGGAATGAAACTGGCTGTCGCCTAATGAAGCTAGTTGTAATTACTGGCGAAACGTCGTACTCAGATTGCATATGTTGTGGCTTGGCTCTCCAACAGACCGGTTTGCTGTAGTAGAAACTAAATAGCATGTTCTGTTTACGTGACAACCTTTACTAATTGGTTGTGTCGGGTGGTGGCGGGTTCAACGACACATTTATATATTTATGGGATGTAACCCAAAAAAACCTGTGTTGTGAATGACTATTGCGCGCGAAAGCGTACATGTTAAATGGACTACCTTTTCCGTTACTTTGCACTCCTATCGTGCTTTTGTAGCATTTGTCGTTGTAACATTCTGACCTGCCCCCTTGACCCAGGGTGACGGTATGTCGCTCACCTGACTGCTGACACAGCAGCATGGCCTGCGGGGAGACAGTCATGGGGAGGGAACGCGTGCGCTGCACAGAGCCGTGCGGCCGTGGCGCCGCAACACCTCCGCTTCCGCTGGCTGCTCCCCCCCCACCACCACCACCACCGCCGGGGCCACCCGAGCTCCCAGGCAGGACTCCCCCGAACCATAAGTTCTGTTCAGAAGGGAGAAGGGAGGCAACAGCCGGACGTGAATAATATTCAGCAGGATCTCAAGCCATCAAGACACTTGCCAAATGCGAGCGAGACGAAAAACGTTGATCCTTTCGGAGCAATACGTCTTCCTCCCCTTCTCAAATCCTCGCGCAATTTTCACTCAGTGGATTTGTGTGTCACAGGACTGAGAAGTGGTGTCAGCTTGCGGACGGCTTCATTCAGCAGTGATCATGGCTGTTGATGATGATGGAAATCAAATATATTAATTTATTAATATAAGGGGTATCTGGCAAAAAATCTATCATAAATTTTAGTATCCGTATACAAAACCTCAAAAAGAAATAAACAAAATCTGGGTTTAATTTTCTCATCCACCTTCAAAGCCCATCATCAATGATAGCAATATAATTTATGAATCTCTTCATAGCACTTTTTAAATTGTCTAAATCCTGTCCTCCATTTGATCTTGTGGTTTATTCTAACAGGGTATATATACTCTGTTCATTACTGCCACCTATATTCTAAATACATAACATGATTAATATTGCAGTATTTAAATTCATCTGATGACCGTGAGAGAGGCCCCTTCATCCAGCAGTAGACAGATCATGGCTGATGATTAATGACGACGATGACCTACCTAATGTGGTGAGCAAATGACGCTCACCTGCCGACCCTTAGCAGGCGCAATGGCCGGGCTGCTGAGCGAGGCGCGTGGAGGCGTGGAAACGAGGCCGTTGTTGCCGGGACCCATGAGACCCAGGCGGCCGCTACCCGGCAGGCTACGGTGCGGTGCAGGGAATGGGCGCGAGGCCCAGCGACTCCCCGATAGGCCGCACACCGAGCTGGCCGGCGCGCCCCCCAGCACACTGCCGCCACCTCCCACGCCCGGCAGGGAACTGGACTGGCCAAACATTCCCCACCTTCACAAAGGAGAAACAAAACCACAACAAAAACTCAATTCGTGTAATGAGTCTGCGAAGGAGGCTGTGAGTAAAACTGACGTGTTAACTACGGGAGAGCAACACCTCCCCGATTTCTCCAAATTACCAGTGCCGAAAATATCTCTGGGTTGTGATATACAAATTGCGATGAGTTAATCGCCCCCATAGTTCTTACATGTGGTAAAATCTCGCCATCCAAGCAGTCACAACACAATTCAGCTATCCTTGTACATAATTCGGCTATCTGTTGAGCTTGTGAACAGATCACGAAAAAAAGTGGTAAAGACCCCCGGGAGGGCTGCCGGAACGCCTGCATCTCGAAGAGGGCACGTCGCGGGAAGATGCGCAGCAACTTCTGCACTTGCAGCTTCCACGAAACCAGGCGCTTTTTCTGAGTCTCCGTGAAGGCCTGAGGGAAAAGCACACAATTCACATCATTACATTCATAAGTGGTACTTTGCTCCGGTTTTTCCACCTTTGACAAACAACCTGCTTGCCCACCTCGCAAATGGATTGACACAAGCACCTCTCCAAATGAGAACACTATTAACTGGAAAGCCCAGTTTGTCGGTTATATTTATCCAAATGATTTCTACTCTGAATATCCCCATGTTTGTCAAATCAGAATCTTTATTTGGACTGGAGGAATCCGATGAGCTATGAAGCTCTTTTTTTTACAGATGTCCGGTACGGGTGAGTCATCAATACAAAACACAATGAGTGCAAGAAAAAAGAGAAAATGGTAAGAAAGTCATTAAATATAAATAAATAATATCTACATATAAATAATAACTATATAATAACTAACTATATAACTACATAACTATATACAGAAACGGCGTGTTTTTAAAATTATTTTTTCTATCTACATGACTTTACCGAAAGAACCAGAGAGTATAACTATAAATATAAATTGTTGGTAAAATAGCGAGAGTCTACCATTTTATTTTGGACATTTTAATATCGGACGTAGTGTTGTTGTTCTCTGCTGAATTTCATGTGGACTTCTGCGGCTGTATAATTCTCTCTCCTTAACACCAGGTTACCCAGGGGCATTTGTTTGAACAGGTAACACTTTATTATTAATGACTCTTGATTTCATACCAGAATTTCCACTAAGCAAATGCTCATGGGAAACACTGGTTCACAAGGCTCAGTAGGTAATGTTATTTCATTTCACAGATGAAGCACACCTTAAGAGTTTTTGTTTTACATCATGGGACCAGATTTTCACCTGGTCAGAATGAGCACTTACGATGACAATTACTCAAGTGCTATGACAAACAAACTGACATACTGACTTGGAGGTCATCCAGGAAGTCAACATTTTCATCCTATGGAGACATTGACCAACACCATAAGAAGATGTAAGTTATATCTCCGACTCAAGATAACTCATGGAGATGACCAGTGGCCCACTGTTTATTTGAACAAAGAGACACTTTGCCCCCGACACAGCACAGGGTGAATATGGAGTCGAAGACTCATGAAGGCAGGCTTACCTCATGGCCCAAACACTTGTCAAGGAGCTGCAGGTATGAGGCAACACTGTCTTCATCCGGATGTGACACAAGCAGCTGTGTGCACACTGGGCAGGCAACACAAAAGCGCATCTATGCATCACAGCGCACAATAATTCCTCGTTTAACGCGTTAGATGCGTTCCTGGAAAGTGCTACGTCAAGCGGAAACGCGTCCAGCCAAAACAATTCCCACAAAAGAAGTCACGCAACGAGGAGTGCGCGTACACATGAACCTTATGGCGGTACCTCAGGGTACCATAGTACCCCGGTCCTCGCATGTCCGTGATGCAGTCATTTTTAGCTCGTTGATGGTTGGCGATGCGGCAATCGACTCATCTCGACGAGCTGTACACGATGCACTATCCAAAGTTGCATTTTTTCGATAACGGATTTTCTATGCTATGTTTGGCGTTTCGACATCACGGAGTGGCGCTGATTTCGGATTGATTGGTACCCCAGTCACGGAGTTAAGTACACCCCTGGAAAAAAATAGTGTCCCAGAAATAAAATATTGAATTGCCTCGGCCATTTTGTATTATTTGGTACCTCCGGGGTACCACCATAAGGATCACATAGTAAGATGGCAGGACAAAGAACTGAGATGAGGGTACGACGCGTACTTTATCCTTCCGTGTGTGTATACGCGAAAGCAGTTCGTCATCAATTCCTCAGAAACCGCGTTAAAATGGGCACGTTCTGTGTTGTGTGAAAAGTGTTCCCGAATAGAAGAATCGTATTGTAGGGAAAACGCGTTGTGTGAAAATGCATTAACTGAGGACTTACCGTAAAAGTAGTACAATTATTTTTACTGTTCTATGTCATTATTCTAAAAAGCACGACATACAAGTACTGCTCGGTTACAGATCTCTGTAACAGCCCAGGGCTCGAACAAAACTTCAAACACAGTGCTCTTTTAAGTTGTGTTATGGGCATGCAAGGTTATGAACTGACCACTGGTCTAGATGTTCACCACTTCCTCAATCAGCCCTGTATCCAAACCAGTGGATTTCAGGAATGTGCCACCATGTCCAATAATCCTTCTTAAACATCTGGCAACCTTGCAATGCACAGAAATGTATACACCGTTTTCACTGTACAACCAAAGATCAAGGTTCATTTTCCACTGCACAAGCCGAGGCATGCTGCTGAGGTCACACACAAATAACACGCCTAGATGGATGTAGATAATGCAGACATTGCGTCTCTACAGTGTAAATGACTGGAGAGATATAATGGATGCATAAATGTCCACAGTCCTGACCTTGCTTGGCCCTGAACCGTATTAAGATGTGTTGTGAGGGCTAACGAACCAGCTTGATAAATACCCAATGGGAAACCACCTATACCGTGCAGGCCCGGCTTGGATGTACCAGTGAAAAAAGGCCTATCAATCGCCTAATCATGCTCAGCAAATGAAGGACGAGAGAGGCATCCTCCGATTAGCAGGGTTGGCTACGTACGGTGCGAAATATGTTCAACACAAATACCTTTGCCCATGACGCGCGTGAACTGGCCCGGCAGATCCCCCTCGCTCACATGGGTTCCTTCATTTGCCGCACCTGCTGAACCCCCGAGGCCATCACCATGTGCGGCAGACAGGGTTCCCAGGCCACTAAAGTCGCTCCTCTCCATTCCTGCCAATGGCGGACGTCCTGAGGCGCTGGGGCTGTTCCCAACCTCCCTCCGTCTTGCCGGGGATGAATTGCCACAGCTCCCACTGTCTGCAACAAATGCATTTCAAGCAATCAGTTAATCTGTTTTGCTGGCAAACAAGCACAATAACGGGATGGGAAGACATCTCTTTCAGCTGCACCCCTCGAGCCACTCATATAAGTGTAGTGTCTCGAAATGACTCGCATTCACACGGAGTAACAGGTCACCTGCTTACACTTTATTAATCCTACTCTCGCACCCCATGTAGGCACTCCTATGACTGCCTTCCACTGTCACCACACACTCTGCGCTTCTCCTACTACCCGCTCTCATCTACTGCGCACCTCACCTACTCCCTCCTATCTCGCTGCTGCCCTCTCCTACGCTGCCCCGTACCCACTCACCTGTCTGTCCCGGGCGGGGGGGGTTTAGCCAACACCCGGCGACGGCATGAGGGGCGAGGTCCCGTTGACGGCTAGAGCGGCAGCGGCGAGATGTCTTCACTCTTATTAACCCCTCCTCATTCCAAGCCCTCACGTGCCCCCCACTTAAGCGGTCGCCTCCACGGCGCCTGTCGCACTCATTAATCCCTCATCATCACCCCCATCTCCCGTCTCTCCGGCACCAACCTCATGCTCCAACGCGCACACCTGATCGTTCAATTGCACCCGCTAAACTGCGCAGATCACTACCCTACTTAAGGTTGACTGATAATCATCATGGCCTTGAGGGAAAGCTTATCGAAATGCAGAAAGTTATGCAAAGAATGTGGTTAAATACAGGTTACAGGTCGGTGTAATTAAGATTCCCTGATTCTGTAATAAGAGTTTTAGCAGCACTCCCATAAAAGGAGGCCCATGGACTTTTTGACCACACCTGATAAGATGCCTGTGCCTTATGAGGCAACACTTACATTTATGAAGGTTCTTATACATTGCTTTGTTAAAAAAGAAGAAGTAGTAATGTTCAATGGTTCCCACGGTCTGGAAAAAGTGTATTTTAAGTTTCGGTTATTGTCAGTTCACTCAAGACAGCTGGGGTTGCATTTATCTGCATTGACTCCTGTGTCAAGTCTCATTTCTTGCAGCAGGCGAGGCATCGACAATTTGACGGATACTTTGGTAATACTTTGTATAAATTACAAAGCAACCAACGGTAGTGCTATGGTCGCGTGCTGTACTTATATTTGAAATGTTGTGAGCTTAAATCTCAATCTGGGGTTAACTGCCAAATTATTCCTCTGGGATTGATAAAACAAGTGCAGAGTGGGAAATCTAGGATCATCCTGGGGAAAGCTTTGACTTCAGGAAGGAAAAATGGGATGTTCACTTCGGTCTAAGGGCCTCCAAAGGTGATAAAAACACCATTCTTAGCTCATCGCTGATCAGAAGATATCCAGCCACGCTTGAGCAGCATCTCATCCAAGTGACACTGTGCACCGGCCCGATGCAGAGAAGAAGCACCAGGGGTGGATGCTGCTCCGGTCATTTTCGTAGCGGCTTTTGACTAGCCATCGAACAATGACGGTTGCCACATCGTGCGCTTTCAGATGTGCTTCTGCTGTCGTCTGGAACGCTCTTCCTTCCGATATCAGAAAGCCACTGGAGCTATGCACTTTTAAATCTAGACTGTAAACTAATTTCTTTAGAACTTCTCTTTGTGTTTAGTTTGTTGTTCGTCCCCGCAACTTCGATTCGCACGGTTGGCTACGTACGGTGTGAAACTAGTTCAACATACATACATTCATAATAAAGGTTTTTGGGTTAGATCGCGTTTATTTATAAATGTGTCGTAACCCTCCACCACCCGACACGGCCAATCAGCAAAAAAAGTGTCACGTTGACAAAAGACAAATAATTCACTACTTTAGCCCACCGGTGTGTTGAAGAGTGAATCCACATTTACAATTTGAGTGCGACGTTTCGCTGGTAAATACATCCAGCATCATCGGGCAATTCGCCAGAATGGTAAAGCCCTCGCTTGCTCCCGGTTTTATATAGAGCAGCAGGGTGACGTCATCACTTAACTCATATCAGGTGCAGTGATTAGAGGTGGGGGGGGGGGGTATTGTAATTATATAATCGATTAGTAATCAGTCATTGGTTATGATTAGTAATGAGTTGTAGATTAGTAATTCTTTAATCAAAATGTAATGTGTATTATTTAATAATACGCTTCCAGGCCGCACTAAGCCTGTAGCTGTCAGAGCGATTAAAGTTATTCTTGTACATACACACATGCTCACCTTTGTGCGCACTGGGAGCAGAAGCACTCGCCGGCGAGTACATCTTAATGGGCGTCAGGATCATCTGGTGCAGTTCCTGGAGTGCGGCTCGTACCAAGCTACCGCCTTCCATTATGTCCTGCGAATGCAGAGAGAACCAGGGTCAGTGGTTAAGAATCGTGAAGACACAGCCTAACAGACAGAGAGATCATGACCACCTAATCTATTGTTCATGAAAGTAATGTAACTCTTCAACGCCCCCCCCAGCGGTGCGATGATTTTACCCGACTGAAGGTTGCGAAAAGAATTATAAATTTATGTTGTCCAAATTTTACCATTTCATTTATACTGTTTTGCATTTGTATGGTAGTGTACATTCAATTGGCCTCCATGTAACGTAAGAATATACATTACATGCAATTTCCATAAATAATAAAGCGATTCTCATGTTTCAATGGGAGTATTGTGAGCAATAGCTTTTTTATTGAAATATCGATGCATCGTTCCATGCCAAATTCATAACTTGACATCAAAGTGTACCCCCCTGCTTGAATAAGAGTGATACAGTTCTGAGTGACATTCCTCTGTGTTAGGAATCCACATTTCTTAGGCAGGGGCCACTGCCTCCACATGACGACCACCCTGGACTTCCAGCAAATTAGATAGTTTTCATCCAACCTGGACTTTAACTTACAACCTTCAGATTATAAGTGAAGCACAAACTTCTGATTAGGAGTTGAGTGCTTAAACACAGAGCCACCCAGCCAATGTATATATATATATGGCATCTTTTGGACTCGATTAGATGATTCAAAAGGTTGCAGCCAGGCTGCCAAATGTAAAAAAAGTATTTTCAAAAGCAGACCGTAACCTGACTTCTAAATCGTACGCAATTTAAGGGAATCCCAAGTAACCAGGGCACAATGTTACATTAAGGAACTATATATTTTTGGCTATGCTCTGCTGCCACCTTTTGGGCATCTGCACAATAACAGATGGCATTTTGAGTGCCGGCCAAGGTAGAAGATGAAGTTACAACCTTGACAATGAACTGCAGTTGTAGAGAATTAAGAAAAGGTAGTGCAGGCATGGAGTGGCTTTAATTCAACAATACATGGAGAATGGCTAAGAAGTGATCGTACTAAATTAGCCAACAGCTTAAAGAAGCAATTGTGCTTAATGTTACCAAACTATCAAAACAATATCACTCTATAAGAATAGGTTTTACCCTTTCTGGCAATAAAACAGGTGTTCAGATGTCAAAACACCAAACTTAAACCTTTTGCAAGGAATCATGTCTGCATTAACCACAGATACTTGTGATGAACATGCAAACAAAAAACATGCTCCGACAGAATGTGCATTGTCTTTGAAACTGACTGGTCCACACCAGAGACAGCTTTCTTTAGAGCCTAGCCTCAAACAGTGTTTGCATGTTCACCACAAGTATATGTGGTTAATGATGATATGATTCCTTGTAAAAGGTTTCAGTTTGGTGTTTTAACATCTTGACAACTGTTTCATTTTTATTATTCTTGGTTCTTTCGGTAAAGTCACGTAGAAGGGAAACAATAAAATAATAAAAATATAAAACAATACTTTACCGAAAGAACCAAGAATATAAATCCCTGCAGTCACGAAAGCTTTAAATCAAAACTGTTTCATTTCCAGAAAGGGTAAAATCCAAGCGCAGGACAGTGTGCCACCTTTATTGCTTTCAACTTCCACTTCACAATTTCAGATCCATAAAACTAATATGGCACAACTTCCACCTTGCCACATTGTCATGGTGTAATGGGGGGGGGGGGGGGGGGTTACAGGTTCTCAGCTTGTGACAGCACTCCAATGTGGCTGTAATGTCCTGTCAGTGGGTACGACCTTCAAATCGTATTTCTCACGAGCAAAGCATCAAATTCGTGATGCACAGCCCAAGTATAGATCGAAAAGCACAGCCGTTTGTTTTGGCATCGTTTCTTCCCGTTCAACTGAAGAGAAACCGACTGCGCTGGCTCCTCACCTTCTCGAGAGAGTGCAGCACATCGTGGCGCTCACGCAGCTTTTGCACACTGAGAGCGATCTTGTGTCGAGCCCCCTTGGTGACGCACTGTGCGGGCCAAGCGAACGCCAGCACGTTCGAACACAAAACAGTGGGATCGATTACTCGCGATGCAAACACAAAATGAAGAACCAACTTTGAGTGCAGCAGCAACTGCAGCGTTCATAGGTGGGTGAGAATGCGAGCACAAATGAACGTTATAGCAAAAAGGCTGAAGACCATCATGATGTAGAACTGAATGACAGATGCACAGACAGCTTCCAGCCGACAGGTGGCACTGACAGATGCTGTGAAGCAGCTGTTGCTCACCCACAACCCAGGGGACCACCAACAAGTATTCTGCCCAGCTGTCTGCCAAAGCTAACTCATATTGCATCATAACATACATTGGGAGGCAAACGCTACAACGATGTAAATTTTGATCACTATCAGGGCCGCCAATGGAGACAGCCACCATCACTTTCTCATTTGGGAAATGAGACAGTTTGACTTGTGTTCACAGTGGGTATTCATATTCATTCAAAACACAAACTTCTCATCATTGTAAATGAGTACACAACAGCTGAAATAATAAAAGGCAATTTCTGTATGTGCACATACAAACCTTTGCACATCTACTGCTGGATGAGGGCCTTCCTATGCCACGTGGGTCGTGGGGGTTATTTGGCCAGACCTCACCATGTTAGTCAGTGCGGAATGAAGGCAGGAAAATCAATTGTACTGCATTTCTGTGCAACCGACCATGTCACCCCGCAGACTATAACCTGTTGTGTATGGAAATGACCCATCCAAGCATTATTCAGGCTCGACCCGACTTAATGTCTGAGATTTGACGAGACCAGGTGACAGGTCATTGAACTTTCTTAAAAAATTATTTTGCAAAACAGTGGCTATGTAGACAGATATTAAGCTTGGTGAACATTTTTGATTTATAGCTTTCGTGACTGCAGGGATTCATATTCTTGTTTTTTTCGGTAAAGTCACGTAGAAGGGAAACAATAAAATAATTAAAATATAAAACAAAATTCTCACGACGTTTCGACTGCAAACCACAGCAAGAAAATTTTCTTGCTGTGGTTTTCACACCTGATGATGATTGCAAGAAAATTTTCTAACTGTGGTTTTCACACCTGATGATGATTGCTTGTGTTGCAGTCGAAACGTCGTGAGAATTTTATTGTTTTATATTGTTATTATTTTATTGTTTCCCTTCTACGTGACTTGGTGAACATGTTTAGCACTTAACTATACTTCTTTCATATAAGACAAAAACAATGTCTTTTAAGGATAACTCAACTGTGTGACCTCCCCCACTAAAATTACTTTGGCTGTGCTGAGAGGTATTCAAATTATTTGTAAAGAAAGTTGCAAATATTTGCTTAAATACGGATGCTCAGCTAAATCCTCACAAAACAGATTTAGCAGCACCGATGCTTAACTTCAATACTTTGTACGAGGTACATACCATAAGTGGACAACTATCTATTACGCCCAATGGTTAACGTAGCACCACGTTTGACAAAATATTTTAAACAGGCACACATGTGTTGATAGTAGTTATGCCACGTGTTTTTATGAGAACTATACTTGAAAGACTTAAGCTAAGACTCTACCTCCAGTAACGTTGCATATGACATCATGCCTAAAGAGTCAAGCCATGCTATTTGCCAAGAGTCACGGTCTGTTGGATGATGTATGGGCATGGGTCTGCTGTGCAAATGGTTTTCGGATTACCATCCAAAGAAATAACACGTTACCGCGGTTTTTGTTATTCCACGTGGAAGCATGTGATCTTCACTCGCACAGTAATTCAACAAACACTGCTCACGTTAATCTTGCAGACATGAGGTGATGGTCACCCGCAGCCACGAGAATGCCTATGTGGCATGTGCGTACAAAGTCACCAATCGTTGTGTGCTGTGCATTTCATAGAACATAAACAGTATCTAAAATATCAGAACAGAGTAGGAAGTAGTTTAATAAGATGACAGAAAAAAGTGACAATGGAGATGCTTTCTTGCTTAAATGAATGCAAAAGGTGTGAAACAATGATCTGCTTTACAACATTCGAATTGCAGCGTGTTCTTATGAGACAGCTGCAATTCTAATGGGCTGAAGTGGTACAAAAAAACAATCAGTAAACAACTAGACATTAACCCTAAAGGTTTTCTTTAAAAAAAGTATCACAAGTCAAAATGTCTTTGCTTAAATGAGCATCGTGGCAGTGTAAGAGGTTGGAAACTCTGCCTTTTCTATCGCTTTCCTCTTCTGATAGCACCTTTCACCAATCTCTCATATCCATCTATCCCCTCTCTTATGATCACAACTCATGCCTCTATTACATATATTCTGAAAAGAATGTCCTGCTTCTTAGGTTTCTTTTGAACACATCTCCTGCCTCTTATCTTTCTCGCTTAGAAATTAATATCCGGTGTCTTTCATATATCTCTCAGCTGAAGACATCTCATTTATCACTCATACATCCATTTAGAAAATATCTCTATTAATACATGTGGCAAGCATCTTCTTGTGCTTTGATAAATCCACCCCTCAGTGCAAAAACGTTTGGACATGCCTCCTATGTGGTGCAGCATAATTTCAGTAATGTAGACAAATCACCGTCAAGCAAACACCATGCTTTCAAAGGTTTAACAAAAATCTGTCATTTAATTCCCTTGCCCATCAAGTTGGCATCCTGGCTCATGGTTAATGCGTTGTTGGCGATGGTTGCAGGCAAAGATTACCATAAAATTGTCCAAACGGTTCATGTCCTTTGGCCTATACAGCAATAACATACTAATTTAAGTGAGAAAAAAAATGTATTATGATAATTTAACATAGAGCTATTGGGTGTCAGTATCTCATTTAACTTAAAAACCTGGTTTAGTCATTCATGGCGGGAGTCTGGATTAAAATGCTAGATCTCACTGACGACTGCCGAGAACTCTGACACTAACGTAGCCCACCAGCTATCCAGGTGCCAAACTGCGCTTCAGCGTTTTTAATGTCTGCAGCAGGAGACCTGCTTTTGTTTATTTCCCTACAGAATTCATCAAGCAGCTGTGGGATTTTAAACACTGAGCTCATTGGGCTCAATGGCAAACTCAAGTCAGCACAGTTACCTGGTGCTCCAGGTGTTTCTCGGTGAGAGACATCATCTCCTCGTAGGTCAGCTGGGAGAAGAGTCCTGCATATTTGTGGAGCCGAAGGCTTTTAAGCCACGCCGGCACATCTGAGAAAATCGGGCAGTTGCAGGGTAACGCAGACAATGCAAATTAAAATCGATTGTGTGTTAATCAAAAGAACGACGTACATGCACAGCTCATTTGTCAATCCAACGAGGGAAGAGGGCTACCCCACACGCCCTGCTGATCATGGGGGTGATTTGACCGTACAGCAACCACACTAGTCCATCTGAGATAGTGAACGCAAGCAACATAGATGTTGGAGAATACAAGAACACAACTTTGGATTTTGCTGTATTGCCCTGTGCGGCCCACCATATAGCTTTTACTATCTAGCCACAACCCTGCATAGCTTTTCAGATACGATTCCGGGCGATATAAAGTGAGGTAAAAAAGTATTTGATCCCTTGCTGATTTTGTACATTTGCCCACTGACAAATAAATGATCAGTCTATATAATTTTAATGGTAGGTTTATTTGAACAGTGAGAGACAGAATAACAACAAAAAAATCCAGAAAAAGGCATGTCAAAAATGTTATGAATTGATTTGCATTTTAATGAGGGAAATAAGTATTTGACCCCTCTGCAAAACATGACTTAGTACTTGGTGGCAAAACCCTTGTGGGCAATCACAAAGGTCAGACATTTCTTGTAGTTGGCCACCAGGTTTGCACACATCTCAGGAGGGATTTTGTCCCACTCCTCTTTGCAGATCTTCTCCAAGTCATTAAGGTTTCGAGGATGACGTTTGGAAACTCGAACCTTCAGTTCCCTCCACAGATTTTATATGGGATTAAGGTCTGGAGACTGGCTAGGCCACTCCAGGACCTTAATGTGCTTCTTCTTGAGCCACTCCTTTGTTGCCTTGGCCGTGTGTTTTGGGTCATTGTCATGCTGGAATACCCATCCACTACCCATTTTCAATGCCCTGGCTGAGGGAAGGAGGGTCTCACCCAAGATTTGACGGTACATGGCCCCGTCCATCGTCCCTTTGATGCGGTGAAGTTGCCCTGTCCCCTTAGCAGAAAAACACCCCCAAAGCATAATGTTTCCACCTCCATGCGTGACGGTGGGGATGGTGTTCTTGGGGTCATAGGCAGCATTCCTCCTCCTCCAAACACGGCGAGTTGAGTTGATGCCAAAGAGCTCCATTTTGGTCTCATCTGACCACAACACTTTCACCCAGTTGTCCTCTGAATCATTCAGATGTTCATTGGCAAACTTCAGACGGGCATGTATATGTGCTTTCTTGAGCAGGGGGACCTTGCGGGCGCTGCAGGATTTCAGTCCTTCACGGCGTAGTGTGTTACCAATTATTTTCTTGGTGACTATGGTCCCAGCTGCCTTGAGATCATTGACAAGATCCTCCCGTGTAGTTCTGGGCTGATTCCTCATCGTTCTCATGCTCATTGCAACTCCACGAGGTGAGATCTTGCATGGAGCCCCAGGCCGGGAGAGATTGACAGTTCTTTTGTGTTTCTTCCATTTGCGAATAATCGCACCAACTGTTGTCACCTTCTCACCAAGCTGCTTGGCAATGGTCTTGTAGCCCATTCCAGCCTTGTGTAGGTCTACAATCTTGTCCCTGACATCCTTGGAGAGCTCTTTGGTCTTAGCCATAGTGGAGAATTTGGAATCTGATTGATTGATTGCTTCTGTGGACAGGTGTCTTTTATACAGGTAACAAGCTGAGATTTGGAGCACTCCCTTTAAGAGTGTGCTCCTAATCTCAGCTCGTTACCTGTATAAAAGACACCTGGGAGCCAGACATCTTTCTGATTGAGAGGGAGTCAAATACTTATTTCCCTCATTAAAATGCAAGTCAATTTATAAAAATTTTGACATGCGTTTTTCTGGATTTTGTTGTTGTTATTCTGTCTCTCACTGTTCAAATAAACCTACCATTAAAATTATAAACTGATAATTTCTTTGTCCGTGGGCAAACGTACAAAATCAGCAGGGGATCAAATACTTTTTTTCCCTCACCGTAGTGGTAGGCAACAGTAAAACCTCTAAACCCTATTCTTCGCGTGCTTGTCCTCCACGCCTGCTACACCCTGTACCCGTGCTCACCTCGCATGCCGCTGCCCTCCTCCAGGAAGGTGTTGCGAGCAAGGGGTGGCCCGTCGTCAGGATGATCCCCGCTGCTGCCGCCGCTGCCCGATGACGCCACGCTGCCCTGTGGCGAGAGCGGGGCATGCGGCTCCGATGGCGGCAGGCACACCACGTAGGGGGGTGGTGGTGGCGGCGGCTGCGGCGGTGGGTGGGCGTGCAAGCCTGGTACGCCCCGCGGGCGTAGGTCCTCGTGCGACAGCCACTGGTGCGCCAGGCTGGAGGCTGCCGAGGTGGGTGTGGGAGACGCCGAGCGCTTCAGCAGACCTGGGGACCAGTGTGCGGGCAATGCCCAAAAAGGTCAACGTGATCTCCTGCTCAAGTGAGCACCGCGGCGGTGCTCATCTTCTTTTATAATGGTCCTAAGCCAGTGGTGGATATACAAACACTCCTGATGGTGGGTGCAAGTTTTTCCATTGGATGGTGGTGCCTTTTAAGAGCAACCAACTCCACCAAAGCGTATGTAACGTAACATTCTATTTTGTCAGTGCATAGCGAGGCTGTCCCAGGATGAACTATACAAATGTGAAGTGTTGTTACGAGTTAAATAATGCTTTTTGGAAATAGTGAAGTCTCAGTAAAATGTATGTATTTTCTACTTTATAATGAATATACTCTCATCTGACATGACAACAAATAATTACGCGCAAAGAAATCTTCATACGTTACTCATAACACTGGTTGTCATCTGTTTTGAACCACTCAACCAAACTAAAGAAATCATTAATCTGTTGGCTTGACTTGTCAAACACTCAAAAAATAAAAATGGTCCACAGATCAATATGCTATTTGACGTCATAGCCACATGTGACATCACGTAGCGACATGTGCTGGCTTGCCTGATGCAGTTTGTAGGCCATAATCATAGGCAATCATCTTCCAATGGATGAAGCACCACGCTCGCATAAAAGTGAGATTTTACACTGTAGGCAAATTTTTCTTTTACCAGAGCTTTGAAACTACGTTCATCTAATGCAACGCAACGTAAGTATGTGCATTTAACATGCTTATATTGTATATCATAAGGAATGTTATTCGAGGATATCGCTATACTATGAATTATTACTTATTAATAAATGTGGACAAGAGAGATTCTGAGTGGAAATTGTGCAAATCAAGTTTCTTCCAACGACTCATTTACAAGTTTTAGCTGAAAGGTCAGCAACTTTGAAGCTCAGAATGGAACGTCACAGGATATAATTGTAAATACAATCATGAAACGCACATTTAAAAGTGGCCATTCAAAGGTTTGCAGCCATCCTCCAATGTCCTATAACCACAGACCTTCCAGGATGGGTGTCAAATGTGTATCTGGCAGAGGGTAGTGAAGGTACGGTGTGATAACAGAAATAGCAGTAGCCTTGATCGTTTCTTGAACTTGTACAAATCCTATGAACTTAATAGGCAACTATTTTAGTCTTGGACAACACACATTGGAACTTGCTGTACGCAATTAGTCCGACACATTTAATACAACGTTCGTCCACCCCCTGCTTTTAATCCATGCCCAGTGGCCTGACACAGGTATCTCGCCTAAGCTGGAATTGCTCTGGGACCGCATGTGCCCTCTCTAACAGTCTGCCACCCGGGGGCTAAAATTAAACTGCTGCCACTTTCTCTTTAAATCACCCACCGTGTCCTGTCTCCACTTCCTGCACAGTCTCGCACCCACTTCATTTCCCCATCATCCATGCAGCGTGTACAAAACTCTTTGGCATGTTTCGTGATGGGTATTGCAAGATCCGACCATGTCCGTCCAGTGCTCGCTGAGCAGCATTGGCTTCCGGTTGCCGAACGAATACATTTTAAGGTTGCACTCATTACGCACAAAGTGCTTGCCACAAATGAACCACAATACCTTGCTGAATTCATCAAGGAGCGCAAACCGTCGCGCAAACTCTGGTAATCCCTCGCAGCAGCGGCTTTTGGCTAGCCATTACACAGACGGTCACTGCAACGCGTGCTCTCAGATGCTCTGCCACGGCCATCTGGAATGCTCTTACTTCCCATATTAGGAAACGACTGGAGCTATGTACTTTTAAATCTCGATGTAAAACTCATTTCTTTAGAAGTGCTTTTTGTGTTTAGTATAATATCCTTCCTCCGCACCTCCGATTAGCACAGTTGGCAATGTACGATGTGAAAGTTCAACATACATACATACATATATCCCCAACACAACCCCAGACATAATCTCAATCACTGACACGTTTAAACACTGGCAATAGCAACACCAAGTGTACATGTAGGAATTGGTGCATTTATTCACGACACCTCCTGCCTATGCCTTCCGGCCGGAAAGCCTCGGCTTAGAAAGCATAGCCAAAGCTTTGCTAAGTGGCAGACACAGTTGTTGACAGTCTAATTCTGTGGCCAGTTCCAAGAACCTTAAAAATAGTGAATAAAAAAAGAACAAAGTGTTTTTTACTATAGATGTGCTGCTGCAAGCTCACAGGTTCAGATTTTTTTTTTCGTAGCCTACATTAAAACAAGGAAGGATTTATGGATATTCATAGCCTACAGTACTTAATCATCATTGTGTTTATAAAAGTACTTTACATTATAAGTTTTAGTTCATGTTACTTACTACAATAAAAACTTAAAATATCTATGTTTAGATCTGCCTGTGTGCATGCATATCAGTGGCAAATAGTTTCAAGTGGTATCAAAACTTGGACTGGCTCTCCACTAGGTTGACACAGCCTTAAATCAGTATCTGCCAGAATGCTATTGATATTTACACTGGGGAAATGAGGTTGGCCAGCCATGATGCTCAAACCGTCATCTCTATCCCTGCCATAACTTCCTTAAAGAGGTGTTCGTTCTTAGTATTTGTTCACTGCCTTATCATGTTTGCGCAAAAGAGTTATACAGAGACTGTGTGTGTAAGGTATGATTCGCGTGAGAGTGTGAGACATGCTGAGAAAGAGATGTTGCGTTTGTGCTTTTGATTATTGAAAACAATAGTTAAATAAGTTTTGTTAAATGAACCAAGGCCTCTGCAGCGGATGTTCGCCTCACCAGTGCTACCGCTCAGGCCGTTCCCAGAAAGAGCTCCTCCGTGGCCATTCTCCTGCCAGCCGAGGCTGCCGTGGTGGGCAGCAGCCATCCCAGAATCCCGTGCGTGGTGCTGCGGAGGTTGATGCCAGCCATTGAGACGGCCTGTTGAGTGGCGACGCTGGTGGCCCAGGAGAACGGAGGTGTTCACTCCGCAGCCACTGACACCGTCTTGGCTGAAGCCTCCGGGAGATGCCACCTGCTGCACGGAGTATCACAATAAGGTCCACTTCTCCACCAAGGCTGCATTGAGTGCCAAAAGGCAGCCAAACATTGAAGTCGTCGACATGGATAACCATTCATTTGCTTCAACAAATATAATCTTGTAAAAACACCACTAAAATGGCTTTCATGTTAAGCAACCTTGACGGACGTTAAAGCAACATCACCAGGTTGTGCAGTGTATTTTGGTTGCCTCGCCAAATTGTTTCGTGAATCAAGGATATTCGATTTTTTTCTTAACTTTATCAGTTTTACAAAAGGCAAAAGTGAGTCGACCTGTTGAAGTGAATGTGGGCTGGCCCTCATCTCCATTGGTGGCCATGAAACAATTGGTTGAAATAACACATTCTCATGGTGGGACCAATCTCCCACTTGACTTTACACAAAGTGATGCCCATTTTATCGACCCTCAGAGCAGTGATGAGGTGAGGTGACCATCAACCAGGCTTAAATATTACGATCTTATGATCGCTCTAACCACACAACTGTCTGGTCAGATAGGCTCTTAATGGCCTTTGATGAATGCCTAAGTCATAAGTTGCACAATACAGATTTACAGTGCTATATTAAAATGCGGACGAAACAAACTTCAGAATGTCCCACGTTTATGGCTATTTTCTTAAAAAGTAAAATAAATAGACTGACACAATGGTCAGAGTGAAAGTCTATGAGAAGGTATAATTGACCAAAAGCATCAACTTCCATGGCAAAAGCATTAGGATTTTGTCTGCTTACTTATTTTATCGGTTGCGGTAAGAATTACGCGCTTCTTACCCGTGACCAGTGGAACATTTGTGCAACAGCTAAATGACTCAAGGCCCCAGACCAAAGAGCAGATCCATCTTTTTTTTTATTCATATAATTGTTTGTGCTAGATATTTTATATTCTGGGAAAACTGAGTCAAGTTATCCTCAAGTTGTGCTACGAATATGACGTAAGAGCATGCGATTCATCTTCACATAGTCCTACTAAGTATGAGTGAGGTTTGGAAAGGGCATACATTATTTAAACAGTATAGCTTTCACCACTCCAGACATTCAGTTTTTAAGAGAAGAGTGACACCAAAGCACAACGATCCTTTTATTTTAGGTTATTCAACTACAATTATTTTCAGCCCCCAATAATTAAATTGTAATAATTATTTGTGATAAATATAAATGGGATTAAATAATCTCATTTGCAGGTGCTATTTATATTTATGTATCACAAGCCTTTACAAGAAAGCAGCTTAGGGAAGCCTTCATCCAGCAGTGCATTGATTATGACTAACGATGATGACTTGAGAATAACATCTGCCCAGGTGATTCAGTGGCAGAACACTCAACGCACAATTGTATGGTTACGAGTTTGAATCCTGGTCAGGGGTCAACTCAGTCCTTTCATTCCTGAGGTCCAAAATGTGTCCAATAGTCTGGACCATGCGGTGGGAATGCAGATTTTCCACCAATGGTTCCGGTATATACATACACTCTACTTCACCAAAAACGATCCACCAAAACAATTACTACGGAGCACCGATTTATATCTGCAGAGTGGACAGGAGCATTTTTTACTAAAATAACTTGCCTAGATCCTCTATCCACCAATCCAAGATTTATGATGCGCAGTATTCAGCAAAAAACCGATGCAAGCATGGATAGCACTGGGCATATGAAACAATTAAAACTAAACAGAAGGGGAAAGGCAATGTTGTTAGTCTGGTCTTAAAAGCACCGATTGTCACGGCTGACTGAATTTCAGTAAGCTGACTTTTCCAGACCACCGGAGCTGCAGATGAAAAGCTCCGTTTGTCATCCTAAACATAGTGGATTTCACACACAGCAGTGTCATACTAAATTTTGATGTAAAGCTTTCGTGACTGCAGGGATTCATATTCTTGGTTCTTTCGGTAAAGTCACGTAGAAGGGAAACAATAAAATAATAAAAAATATAAAACAATAAAATTCTCACGACGTTTCGACTGCAACACAAGCAATCATCATCAGGTGTGAAAACCACAGCAAGACAATTTGAAAAAAGTGGCGTTTTTTTATTATCGTTAGCACCACGGAGAGCGATTTGGCAGCTTGTTCAGATGGACAAGTCCATCTATGTTCGGAAAAGAGGGGGGAGACGACAATAATGGATGCGGTCTGAAAGCCACCGTAAGCGTGAATAATCAATTAAGACCCGAAATGGTTTATCAAATCCTTCCAATGATTGCTAAGCCAGAATCCATCTTCTCGGTTAAAATTGTCTCTGTGTTTGTATATGTGGATGGCCTCATGAACGAATGTCTCATGGTAGCCAGATGGCTTGCAAAGAACCTCTGTCATACTAGATGAGCGTATTCTTGGTTCTTTCAGTAAAGTCACGTGGAAGGGAAACAATAAAATAATAAAAATATAAAAAAATAAATTATCACGACGTTTCGACTGCAACACAAGCAATCATCATCAGGTGTGAAAACCACAGCAAAAAATTAAGATTTTTTTTTATATGAATCCCTGCAGTCACGAAAGCTTTAAATAAAAATTTAGATGAGCGTAGATTACGTAATGGTACGTATGGGTGGATTGCATCACTCAGGTAGATTTGTTGAGAAAAGCGAGCACTGGAATCTTCAAATGAACTCTCTTATGCACTAGTAAGAAGTGAAACTCCTTCAAAGGCTCGTAAGAAGTGGGGCAAGAGTATTTTGGAGATGCTTGCCGAGGCCATCGTTTACGCCGTACAGCAACAGTCAGGGAGTGTTGAAACAAAACTACATGCGATGATGGTATTTGCGACATCTTTGTGTATGCAATATTTGAATTTTTTTAAGGTGACACCGACCTCGGGTGTGACGAGTGCATGACTGGATTAACTCGCTGATAGGCGATTCAAAGACGTGATGTTTGTCGAGTGTAATGGCCAGAAACTTGAGATTCTTTCGTTTTTATCGAACTGCCCGCCACAACAATGGAATCTAACCCATTTCTTCTGGATCTGAAAGCTCATAGCAATTACCCAACATCATTACATTCGTCACTGCACCCTAAAATGATTCTATACAAAGTGATTTTGGAAAATTATGATGCCACAATTGTTGTCAAGATCATTGCTTTATTATCATGTACAATCAAGTACTTTTTCACCCTTGCAAAACAGAACTGATCTCAATGGGCTATTTCACCTGGTGAAATGTCTAGGAATTAATGAATATTTCAAATGATGGCAGCATGAGAAACATCAGTGATGAGTATTCTGCTTGATGTACTGTACCTGGTAATTCCATCAGAAAGTAGTGTCAAAGTAACACTAAAATGCTCTGCAATTGCCCGATTATTCTATATTCTTGGCAAGTAATTTCAAGCAATGTGCACAATGAATCAGTAGCTTGAATGTTTTACATTTGAAGCACGAATGGCTTTGCATCATTTTGTATAAATAACTGTGTGTTAACCAAGCATAAGCGCTGCTGGGATGGGAAAATGTTTACTGTTCGCATGTCCTGACAAACGCCTTCCACACCTACCCGCCAGTGGCACAGTCACCTCACCTGGTGGTGTTGACCGTGGTGGTGGTGCTGGTGGTGCCGCTCGCTTGGCGGGCAGTCCACCGAGCCCCTCCGGCCAAGCGACGTGGCTGTTGTCCCGGAACCGCCGCTGCCGCTGCCCGCCTCCTCCAGGCTGTTGAGCCAGCCTGCCAATCCGCCACGGTCATCGGCGTCCAGCGCCGGGTGAATGAGGGCGTACGACAGCAGCTGACGCGCCTCGTCAACACGGCGGCCCGTGTCGAGCGCCTGGGCGAGCGCGCGGGGTAGCAGCGCCAGGTAGCCGGCCTTGGCGTCTGCATTGCCGGGCTTGAGCAGCGGTAGATGTGACAGCAGGAGGGGCACGGCCTTGTCCAGTGGCTCGTGCTGCCACTGCCCAATGCAGGCTACGGCAAAAGCAGGGCAAGGCAGGGCATGAGGCTAATGGATAAGGACCGTACATTGATGTAGCTGCCAACACTAAAAGCGACAAACAAACACCGAGTAAGCTCCAAAGTGCCTTAAAGGAAGATGAAACCCCAAAAAACAAATGGCTCTTCTCTTGTAGCTACGTAACTATCTTGTGGTGTTCTGGGCTGTCTGGCCCAGGGTTTGAGCTTTGTTAATGACAAAAAAACGAAAGTTTTCAAGTGACTTTTAGTAGTGCCATGGTAGATCTTTAGTGAAATAACTGCAGTGATGTATTAAACAGTACAAGGGTCACGATACTGACATTACATCGTGTGATGTCAGGAGAATGATGCTCAAAGGTCTGCATTACCAGGTCAGGAATCAATTTGCTGTACTGGCATAATCTGGTCACCTCACACCCAAATGGGTTTGTGAGTGTTACAGTCCATGATGAAATGTGCATAATTAATGTGGTGCACCTATATATAGTGCATATGAATCGGACTAAATATCTGGTGAGGCACTGGCACTTAAATACACTGCCCTCAAATCGGACCATCTTGTATGAATTCTATGAACTACACTCCCATATTGGCGCAGGACATACCAGTGAACAGTGTCTGCGTCTGCCAAGTTTGGATATCCTCATAGAGGACATTGTCAAATTGTGAATCACCTACACTGTAGATATTAATTTTTGGAACTGCAGCCAAGCCTGCCTTAACATGCCCTTTAGCTGTGAGCTTGGCAATACCCAACCTGCTTTGTATAGCAAACTCAGCCCTTAATGGGGATCTTTGTAATGGTTGTTTGTAATTTAAGTAAACTTTTGGCCAGCCAGTACACTAAACAAGTGTATTATTCCTCAGAGATTCCTACACCATATCCGTATATCTTGAAGAACTTCAGATATAAGGCTAATCTGTGAATGTACAATTTTGTGAGACATTTTCAAGAATATCATGACAAGCGGAGTTCACCGTACAAAACGTGGTACAAGCAGAAGCACACTCATGTGGAGACGCAGATAAGTATATACATATTGACACATCATCATTATGGAGGAAGATTAGTAAACAAGTAATAAACAGATCGTTGTTTCTCCACTGGAAATGATTGAAGTTTACAAGAGACAGCCTCGTGATGTCAGATAATCAACTCATTGAGGTGCATTGTATCACTCGTTTGAGCAACCACTGTCTGCAACCATCTATCACCGAACCTCTACAACTCTGTGTGCCTCAATATATTCACTGAAGACAATTTCACCGACGCAGCTCATCAACTCGTTATTACATTCACACAAACGTACTGTACATGTGGCCCCTGTGCACTCACTCACTCACTCACCCCTCCCTCTGTAACCAACTCTTGTGGGGGCACACCCGGGGGCATATTCCCCTGGGCCTCAACATCTCCGACCTGGGCACCCCGTGGAAAGGGCGAGTGTGACGGGTACTGCAAGATCCAATTGTATCTCTCCAGTGCTCGCCAAGCTGGAATTGGCTTCCGGTTGCCGAACGAATGCATAAGGGTCGCACTCATCACACACAAGGTGCTTGCCACAAATGAACCACAATACCTTGCTGATCTCGTCAAGGTGCATAAATCATCACGGGAACTCTTGGGTCATCCTCGCAGCGGTTTTTGGAGAGCTATCGAACAAAGACGGTCACTGCATTGCGCGCTTACAGATGCGCTTATTGTGGCCAACTGGAAAGCTTTTCCTTCCGATATTAGGAAGCCACTTTGAGCTATGCACAATTAAATCTAGATTGAAAATTGATTTCTTTACAACTACTTTTTTATATTTTCTTTGGTTCTTTCGGTAAAGTCACGTAGAATGAGAATAAAATAATAAATTGATAAAATAAAATAACACAATAATATTCTCACGACGTTTCGGCCACAAAACGTCGTGAGAATATTATTGTGTTATTTTATTTTATCAATTTATTATTTTATTCTCATTCTACGTGACTTTACCGAAAGAACCAAAGAAGATGAATCCTTGCAGTCAAGAAAGCTTAAAATCGATACTTTTTTATTCTTGGTTCTTTCGGTAAAGTCACGTAGAAGGGAAACAATAAAATAATAAAAATATAAAACAATAAAATTCTCACGACGTTTCGACTGCAACACAAGCAATCATCATCAGGTGTGAAAACCACAGCAAGAAAATATATTATTTTATTGATTTATATTTTTATTCTTTCCCTTCTACGTGACTTTACCGAAAGAACCAAGAATATGAATCCCTGCAGTCACGAAAGCTTTAAATCAAAATTTAGTATGACACTGTCCTTCCCCCACACCTCTGATTAGCACGGTTCCCACACCTCCTCAAACGCAACCTCCACAGCGCCCCCTCCCTCCCCCATGGTGCACACTCACCCATTTTCTAAGCCACGTGCGCAACCACCCGCCCCGGTAGTCGTATGAAGAGAAACGTATGATTTTTTACTTTGTACTCAATTGCGCGAAAAACTATATGGATCTCAGCAATGGCATTGGTAAATGGTGTGGCAAAATTCGTAGCGACCAGAATTGGGGGGGTTTATAATGAAAATGGTGACGTGACTATGGACAAACGGATGGGGCAGACAAACAGTGAGGGTTTGATGTCAATATTCCAAGTATTTGCAATAAGTAGCCTAAGGCTGCCTTAAAAATGATCGACAATAATATTCCAATTGTGATTTGAGGCATCATGTCATTTACTGCAATAGCTACAGTAAAAAAAAGATCACAAAACGACTTCTGAAGTCACTTCCAATAGGATTCTACTTCAACAAAGAGTGCTTTTATTGCACAAAAACTTGACGTTTTCGGTTGAGTGAAACCCCAAATTTTATATGTGATGGCTATTTGTACAGTTACTGACTTATGTCACTTGAAAACTTGCTCAAATCCTGAGCGATTGCCGAGCCTTGAACCAAAGATCCCGGCAACTCGACAGCCTTCTCACTCCGCCACTGTTGTTTAGTGAGTACAGCAGAAAAGCAAAAAAAAGCCACCGCAGTGAAAGCACATGGGGGCATTACACTGGGCGAGTTGGCCAGACAGCTGTTTACTGCAACAGCACGGCTGTAAGAATGTTAAGTGCGACCAAATGTTACTTTCTTTACAGCACCTGTGGCCAGCCATACCACTTTCGCTGCATGCAGCGTGAAGCAATGCCACTATAGCAAGAAAAAAAGGTACTTTTTGAGTGTTGTGCAGCACCCATTTCATCTACACTGGGGTGTCCCTAAGCCAGCGATGGAAATTCAACACTAATGTGGCAAGGCCCGGCAGCTATACAGAATAATCACTACTGATTTGTCACCAAGTGGTACTGATATTATCTTATAGCACTCCAGTTTTCTTGACTTAACAGCCCAATGAGGATTTGAGGTTTTCTTGGGTAAACAAATAACTAAAATCACCGCAGTCAACCCCGAAACAGACTTGAACGCATGACATACAATTTGCAGCTTGTGGCTAGCCACTGGCTAATCCCAATCACGATGAATCTACATCGCCAGCATGGCAAAGTACTCATGTTGATACTGCCACTGAAAACATTGTAAAAACAGCAGCAGCAACTACCTAGTCATACTTCATTAACACAGCACTAGTCCTACATATGGAGGCTTTGTGAAAAATTGTTTTCACCTGGAGGAATGAAACCAACTTCGCTGCAGCAAGGCCAAGGAAATATCTCGACATGTGGTATGTATGTCGAACTTCTTTCACACCGTATGTAGCCAAGCGTGCTAATCAGAGGTGCGGGCGAAGGACAACAAACTAAACACAAAAAGCAGTTCTAAAGAAATGAGTGTTCAATATAGATTTTAAAAAAAGCATAGCTCCAGTGGCTTCCTACAACAGCAACATGAACAAGTTAACGAGCAAATAGGGTAGTGACACCAAAGGGAGCACATTGTCACCGACGATGAAACGCGTGATCGATGGACGAGAGAAGTCGACCACATGATTTGTGAGTTTAATAAACAAATTTGAAATGCAGTACGCTGAGGTGGTGGTGGGTAACGTTTGAGACGAAAGCCCCCTTGTGAACCCTCAGCAGCAACATCCTTTGGTTGCACATTGCTCATTGGAAGATCGTAGGAAAGCACATGTAGCAGCAACGCATAGTGAGAACCACCACCATCAGTACACGCTCAAGGAAGAAATAAGCAAGGAGAGGGCAGCAACCGCTCAATGTCGAGTGGTTGTGCCCCCCCCCCCCCCCACGAGCACCCCCCCCCCCCCCCCACCGTGTACATAACCGCAGAAAGATGCATTTGTGTAAAAACAGCAGGCAAAGTGACCGTGTGCAGTCTGGCCCTCTAATAATAAACGCTCTCAGATGAGCCTCATCATGCCGGCTGCCTCACCAGCGTGACCAATCATAACAGGAAACATTTCAATGCAAACAGCTCATAAGAGCCCCATTTTTAGCACAAGAATCGTGTAAAGAGGCCAGTTTGCTGAGGTCACACACACACAGATTCATCAGCGGGTACTCAGCCCTCCCCTGTTCTTAATTAAATGTATTTGATTTAACCAGGACAAACCCGCCGTTGCTTAGAGATAGCTATTGTTAATTTCACGTAGTTAAACATGAATCTGATTGATGAATAGAAGCATTCAACTCTAATACAAAGCAAGTAGATAATAAAGAAAAAATGTGCCTTGAACTTGCAATGCTCAGCGTTTGCAGTGGGTTTTGTTGTAGTCTGTTGTTGGTTAACTCGATGAATTCTCATATACACATTCCTTGAAGGTTTACTACGGTCATACAAGTAATTTTGCTCGGCCTACATTTCAATGAAATAACGTTGCTTTAATATTTGTTCAAACCTGTACAACAACAAAAAACCACAAACATAAATACAACAGGAAGATACAATATTCATATATAAGTAATTCAGTTTAAGGGCATTGTCAAGATTCGGCTTTCGTCCTTTACGTACTTGTATCAAAATGAGCGTTAGGCCATGCTCAAAGT